GCTTCTATTATAAGTACGATTATTATAATTATATAATTGAGAAGTTAGATTAGTGTGTAGAGGTTAAGACCTTTTTTAATTTAAGTATTAAAAATATTATATTAAGTTGCTAAATATTTAAAACCGTTAAAAATAATTACTAGGAAATTAATTTTATTAAATATATTAATTTATACGAGTAGTACGATAATTTTAGTAAATTTACTACTTTTAACGACCGTAAGGTAAAGAAGTTCGCCCGGGTTAGATTTATTAATATTTTTAAACTCTTTAATAGAGTGAATTATAATTAGTATAATTAGACCTTTTATTAAGAGGCGGTTTTAGCCCTCTATATTGTTAGAGGAATTATTAGAGTAGATAAATTAGATTTGTAGTTCTTAGAATTCTATATAGTTATAACGTTGAATTACTAATTTTAGTATAATAAAGAGATTGAGAAAAACTTTAATTTTAAAATCTCTTTCTATATTATAGTTAAGGATTTTTGTAAGGTAGTAATAACGAATATTATGTAGGGAAAGGGTTACGCCCTTTTATTTAAGGGTATTATATTTGCGGTTATATTAGGTAGTGAATGTATTAAGGAGGACGCTCCTAACGATCAATAAAACCCTAGTTTGGAGGTAGAAGGATAGGGAGAGGCTATAAGTAAAAATAGTAAAGTTAAGAAGAATATTAATAAGAATAAGCGTACTTCCTCCTTATCCTTACTAGTAAATAAATAATTGTATTAATCCCTATATAAATTTTGTAAGTAGCTGGGCTATAATTTGGATAAGTACTATTACGTTAGGTTATAGTTAGCTTATAAAGGCTAAATTAAAAATCTTACTATTAAAAAGCGTATATACGATAATTTAAAGAAGGATAAAATATTTGAAAAGGCTATTAATAATAATGATCTTATTCACGCTTGATTGTCTAATTTTAACTAGTCGCCTATTTAGGTATGCGGTCCTTCGTCGTTCAAAGCCGGGCGGAAAAACCGTATATCCGCCGCCGAATACCGGATGAAAACCTCCTGCGTTTTTATATTTAATGTCTATTTTCGTTTAATCCTAAGCCTTCCTTCCGATTTCTTCCAATTCTTTTTAGCCCTTCTACCCCTACCCTTAGTTCTTATCATTAACTAGATACGTCTTATTATTAGGGTATTGCTTCGGGGAGAGGGAGGGTAAAAGGGTTTTATGAATTTCGTTATCGTATTTTTTTTTTAGTCAGTCTGAAGGCCCTGGTTGGTAGAGGTGAGGGGTAAGTATTACTTTGCTTACTATTAGGGAATTGTGCGCTGATTGGGCGGATAGTTGTTGTATTATTGGACGAAGTAATTACTTTTCGAGGGGTAGAGAATTCGACCTAAAATCTACGTTCGCGGTAGAGGAGTAGCGGAGCTCCGTTAAAGAAGAGATTTTTAAGCGCTAAGTCGCTTTATCCTAGGGTTTTGGATTAGGGAGAGCTCTATAAGTTTAGCTACGTACTTCGGGTGGGGGAGAAATTCTGAGGCCGGTCTTAGGAGAACCCGAAAAACTAAGACCGGATAGAAGAGAGGGGAGCAGGATTCGAACCTACGACCTTTCGGATGAAACCGAAGGAAACCAAGCCCAGATCTTCCCAACTGAGCTATCCCCCTGAAAAAGCTATTAACCATTTACGAATATAGTAGGATAATAAGGATTAAGATAATTAATTTTATAATTAGCGGGTAAGTAAGAGTAGTTTCTTAGTGCTTATAGTAAAATATAATGTTATATACCTATTAAGAGATTCTATGATCCTCAATTGAAGTACGATAATATATATTTTGAATAAGGTTAATTATTTCGAAGACTTTACCCTTTTAAATATTAATAATAATATATAAGCGGGAAATAAGCGGATTCTTATAAAAGGATATAGTATTATTATAATTATAATTCAGGACGACGATGGAAATAGAGAGTTTTAATTCCCTAACGTCGTTTTAGTACCGGGTATAGTTTATAATTTCGTTTCTTTAAAATAATTCTAGGATAAATAAATTTATTAGGATTATAAAAATAATTACTTATACTTTCGCTTTACGGCTTCTTTTATTTATTATATTTATTTTAAATATAAGTAATTTATTTTAGAATATATCCTTCTATAGAATAGCGTTGATGAATTTCCTTTTATTATATAGTATATAAATTATACTAAGCGGAAGTTATAAAAGGGCGAAGTTTTTCGTTAGTATCTTCGATTTAGCTACCCGGGACTTGAAATTTTAATTAAGTTGATAGAATAAGAATATAGTATACGATTTGAAGGATTGGATATAATATATTACGAGTTATATATTAAAATTAAATTGAAGTGTTAAATATATAAAGAAGTTCGTAATTATTTAGAGGGTTTTGGGTTATAATTAGCCGTCGACTTTTTCTTTTATAAAGAAGTAAAAGTAGGGGGTTAGAAATATTTAAGTCTAGTAGTAATTATAAACCGGTAATTTAAATTTATTTAGGTATATTATTTAGGTAATAGAAAAATCGAATCTATTATTTCGTATTTGGAATCCCTTTATATAGGGCTATAAATTTAATATTAGATTATATTTTAAATAATCGAATATAATAATAAAATAATTAGTAATAACAAGATTATTATTTAGTTTATTATTAAGGGAATTAGTATTAAGCTTTTAACGCTTTATATATAAATTTAAAACGGTAGCGTAGAATATTTAAAGGGTATAATTAAGATTAAGGGTATAATAATATAATTAAGTATAAATCGTCCTTACGAATTATGAATAAAGATTATTAGAGTAGTTGTATATTTATATAATTTAACCCTTAAGGCGGAATATTATTAGAAATCTCTCTAAAATTAATTCGAAATATATTATTAGTTTAAAGACAGTATTGTTCTTCCATTAAACCCTTCCCTTACTATTGTATATTTTAAGGTATATAGTTATAAAGTTTTACTTTTATAATAGAAATTATAAAAGAATAGAATAAGTTAATAAAGTTTAAGGATTGTGTTTAGGCCAGCTATTTAGTTAGATATTAATTAATGAATATCTATAGGATTTAGAATTTTTATATTAATTCTATTATTATTATATAAAACATTATATTTAATAAAAACGAGGTCTTCTTTAGTAGTAACGTTAAAGAAATTTATAATGCCCTTAATATTTCTTTTGAAGAGTTAGTGGGAATAATTAAGAGATTTTTATTAAATAGATATTATATAAGTAAACGTCCTATAAGTCGAAGTTCTTAGCCCTATTATTTAACGTTTTCTTATTAAAACCGAGAATATATTAGGGGAAGAGGAAGAATTAAGGTTTTTGGAAATATAGATATAATTTAGATTTTTGGAAGTTTTATAAGTACTAAGGATACTATTAGGTTTAGAGATATTATAAAGGTCTTTAGAGCTCTTATTATTGTTGCCCATATAATCGCTATTAGATTTCTAAAGTACGGTTTTGAATTTAAAAGATAAAGAAGAGGGCTATTTCCTTACGCTTCTTAATAATCTAATTGTATTTCTAATAACTGACTTCTCTTATTCTAATAAAGAATTATAGCTAATTATAAATTAATACTTTTATTAGGCCGCATTATTCTTATTTATAAAGGGCAATCGATTTATAAGTTTCTAGGGAGATAAGGTCGTAGATTAAACTTTTTTAAAATAAATAAAAGAGAGGGGTATTAATATTAATCCCGGTTATAATTTTAAATTAAAAATGATAAGGGATATTGTTAATTGCTATAGAGTAAAGGGTATATTGAGGACCTTCTATTGAATTAATTTTCTACCTCTTTTAGAATACTATAGTAATTTCAATTCTTATTCCTTTGGGGAATTCTTCAAAGCTATAGAAAAAGAATACCTAAATGAGTATAAAGATAAGAAGTTTTGGAAGTGGGTTAATATTGAAGAAGTAGGAAATAACGAAAGATTCGGTTTAATATAGGTATATATTTATAAATTTAATTAAAATGGCCGGTTCCTTAAATATAATTGTGTGAAACGAAACGGGGACCAACAAGCCGAGCCGGCGAGTGACAACCAACGGCACATCCACCCAACGGCACGGCGCTTGGCAATGATGTGTGACCAGTGACCACCGGGACTGGCTCCGGTGAGTCGCTGACGTTCTGGAGCGATTGATCCTTTGTGTGATAAATTAGGCAAGAGGGAGATGGGAAAGAGGGTGGGGGTTTGTTTAGACTTTGTAGTTTGGGTGTTGTCAATCGGTTTCGTTCTTCGGTTTGTATCGGACATGAGGGACTTGGACGATGAGCTTTGCAGTGGTGATGGGCCGTGGAGTGGTTGAGATGCTGAATTCGTGGTCTGGTATGATGAAGGTAAAACATGTAGAATTGTCCTGTAAATGTCATTCAATATCGCGAGGCAGTACTTCAGAGGGGGTGCAACAGGAAAGGCATGCAATTGAACTCTGCAAATGTGAAATACAAGATAATGCTTATTATCAGCTTCTCTCATTGATACCAAACAAGATCTTCGCAGAAACACACCACGATACCACCTCTTTTGGTTTCACGCTACGACTACGCTGAATTTCAGGAACACTATATACTCGTTCCATCGTCTTGACATTATCTCAAGACACTTCGCCAGTTTTGATTTTTGAGTTCCACCCTATAATCTTTTCCCAGCCTCCCAGTTATCCCGAACCGAACCGAAAAAAGGCAAATCCTGAACCCCATTATCCCAGAGAGAGTTTTAGTCTCATTATGTGCATCAGAAACGGGGTATACTTGTTGAAGAATAAAAGCAAACTGAAAATGCAAGACATGATTTTGAAAGAGCATGCTGACCGAAGAAAACAATCTGCTGATGCGGATGCTGATGCTGATACTGTTTACTCGAGTGTTGAAGCTCCGTATAACATGAATCCCGTTTAGTACGCGTAAGACATTCGGGCATGGACGGTGGCGGCTGATCGTGGGAATTCGTCAAGACGTTCCGTTCCCTGGTCGTCAAAGGGACTCCTAAGCACCTTCTATCGGCGGGACAAACGTGTAGTTGAAGTCGAGAAGGCCATCGAGCATCCAGTGTTGGGGATCCCAGACGTCGAGGGTATCGAAGCCGTTCATTCCCATGAGCTGCTGGTTTCCACCCATGGTTGAAGACCCTCCTCCGGGTGTGATGGATCCGTTCGAGGCGGCGGCGGCGAGGCCAAGGTTCGGGATACCGTGAGAGGGCGGTGCTAGCGTACTGTCGAGATGTGTCGACGAGGCTGATGATTCATTAGCTGAATCAGGATTGGTGGGTTGTTTAAGGGCTGTGCCAAACACTCGTTTTTAGCAACTGGGAGCAGTTTGTCACCAATTGAGGAGCAGTTCAAACAAAAAAAAACTTACCATCAAGTGTACCTCTCCCTCTGGCCTGGTACTCTTCCCTCCAGTGCCAAATTGAGTCGAATACCAGGCTCATGCTGTGTCTACATCTCACCTTGAGCTGCAGACTGTCGTCCACCACGGGGTCGGTTCCATCTGGCCGATATGCGTTTGGGTTTTCTCTACCAGCGCCATTCCATATCTGGACCATAAGCTCAGCCAATCTCCAATAAAGATCATTCTGTATGACGCTCGTGGTCCGGATGGCCTGAATGGTTCTGTGGAAGAGTTCCCGTCCGCGATCAAAATCAATACTTTTGGCGAAGAAGGAGCGCAATAGCTTGAGCAATGAGAACCCAGCAGCCACCAGCATCTGCTGGATATAGTTGGAGGCGTACTTGAGCATGTACTGATCACGGTATTGGTAGGAGTAGTGATCGTGGCAAGATGGGTCACCGTCCAAAATGAAGTCAAGGAAGCTCGTCGTAGCTCTCCAGAGCCCCATGATATCTTCCAGGTAGTTAGGTGTGTTGTTGGAGTCGAAAAAGCCTGCCAGGCGTAGATGGAGGCACGCAGCCTTGAGGTGGAGGTTGACGACTGGTGAGACACCCTTGGACAAGACGGAAGCAGCCAGCTCGTTATACTCGCGACGGTAAACGCGCATCAACATGGCGCGATGCTCATCGCCTGCAACACCCCTAGGATCGCTGGCATTGCTGTACATCTCCTTCGAGACTTTATCGCAAAAGCGTTCTATCTGGAGTCTGGCCTCGAGCTCTGGGCCCAGCGAAGCAGGACTGGTATCGCCTTGGCGGGTAGCCAGCGTCCAGTCGTACAAGGTTGTTGCGGGTTGACCATAGCCGGTGCCTACAGCCTGCGCGACGATATTGGCAACAGCCCACGTCTTGATTCTGTCATGTAGACCCTCCTTGTTGAGCTCAATGGGTACCCTTGAGAAGTCGTTCATGTGATTTGGCCGATGAAGGCCCAGACCGGTGGCCGTCTTCATCAGAACACCACCCAGAATGTGGGTCGGGTCAGATGATGATGTGCTGGTCGGGAGAGGCCATGTGCAGAGGAGGCACAGCGCCTTGACAGCGAAGTAGCTTTGAGGCACCTCCCCGATGGTGGTCCAGAGCAACCTTGTCAGAGGGCTGGAAAGCTTTGTCAAGAATGATCGATCGTGACCATAGCGCCTGCTGGCCACGGCCACTATAGCCCAATAAAGCAAAGGATACTGTTGGTAGTACTGGTCTGGGGTCTGGTGAGGATTGAGGAATGGGAGGAATGGGTGATAGTAGTGGAAGTAGTCGTTGAACAAGACGCCTTCGTCATCTTCCGTTATCCTGAAGTCTTCAAGCTCGCGCACGATCCTGGGCATAGCATAGGAGCCTCCACGCTTCAGGTGAAGCAGAGAAGAGACTGCCTCGTCGGAGCCCATCAATGATGGGTTTCTTGTGTGCGAATAGTGGCTGTTGACCACAGGGGAGTGTAGTTGAGAGTGCGTGGCATTGCCTGGGGTGTTGTTGTCATCATCCTCATCGACGACGAAACCTTGGGCCTTTGCGCTTTGAACCGCACGCCTGAGCTTCTCGATCTCTTTCTCCATCTCGGCATGCTTACTGCGCTTCCCTACACGCTTGAAGTTGGATTCGATTTTGCATTCGAGATGTAGACGGTTGCATCGTGAACAACTAGAGAAGGGCTCTTGAACGACATCGCATCGCAACTGTAACAAGACGAGATGTCAGCAAGAAGGGTTCGTCATTCGGCAGTTGTCGTGTTAGATTCATACCTTTTGTTGACGACACTCGTTGCAAGCGCGCTTAACACCAGGGAGTCGGCGGCCACCCTTGGTCTCGGGGGAGCCATCGTCGCGCTCGTCACGGTCGTTGTCTCCGATGCTAGCAGGGCTGCTCTCCATGATGCTGCGCTTGCGCTTTGGGGGACCACCGTTGGGGCCCTGGTTGCGCATACCAGCCGAGAACTCGGGGCTCTCCATTGTGATGATAGTATAAAGGTGTGTATGTTGCTGTTGTGGTACAGTACTCGGAGCTAAAGTGGTCTCACTTGTCAAATGCTCATATGACCGGACCGTATCGAAACACGGGGGTGGCGGCCGGAGCGGCACGGCCGGCAGTCGTCAATCGATCGGGGGAAATAATGGGCGGGCCGGTGGCGTTAAAGGGTCGGTAGACGTCCAAGGCGGCGCGGTGGTCGCGTGATGGGGCGACCCGATGATCCGGTACGTGATCCGGATATACGTCGTAGTGGTGGTCCGGTGTCGCGATGGGGGGAAGGGCGATATGGGCGATGGGCGGTGGTCGAGGGTGATGGTGAAGAGATTGGGAATCCGAGATCGGGAAGTTGGGGGGAGGGAGGCCCAGCGTGTTTAAGGTTGATGGCGGCACTGGCGATGGGTAAGGTACCTGGCCGAGCTCTTCTTTCTGTCACGTCTTCCGTCTTCCGCTGCAGCTGCTACCTCTCTAGCCTCGCAGACCAATGCAGACTCGGACCCAGCCGAATCGACCCAATCAAGTTTGGTGAAATACTGCTTAGTCCCAGGACTTAAGAGTCACAGCTGAGAAGCAATAAAAAGGCAAATGCGAAAGCCAAGACACCAGTTACTGCCGATGTGGATTGTCGAATTGTGGTGTAATGGCGTACTACGTAATATTCAGAGGGATTAAGTGACATGAAGCAATGGAAGTGGCTGAACCCGAGCACCTGCACTTGTCACCACATTGACGGTGGCGGGACTGAGAAGGACTCAGGTCGTGTGTTGGAGCGGGGATCCAGTGTTCTGCTCTTTCCCCCGTAACATCGACGATTGCAATGGGAATGGCGCGAAAGATTTTGATAGTGCCCTGCAAAGCCCTGCACTTGCACGACTTGCTGCTGCAACGCTGCGACAAACTGCGGGGCCGCGGGATGGCTGGAGACTCGAAGCCACATTCTCATTGGATGGGCGGCCTATAAGCCGTATTTCCGTGCTATAAGAATTACACTACATGTGGCAAGCAGGACGACGAATGAAGACACTGGCGAAGGAAATTCAACGAACTTTGACCGGACAGCAGCATGGCGTGACGAACACCACGTGTGTAATGGGCACGCCAAGTTTAAGACTATTGACTGGTCTTTTCTCCGACTGATTCTCTAATTCACGACTTCAAGACTCCATCAACCACTTTCACCTAGCAGACTTGTCAGAAGAAATAACTCACATATGGACTCGACATATGTATTAGACTACATATAAAATATCCGCCCAAGGACATTTTCATCATGCTCTTGTTATCCCTTCCGCTGAACGCTCTCTTGGGTACGGTTTCAAACAGCATAGTGGACACTTGTCGTTGACACTTTTGAAGTGGACTTTGTGTGAAACTTCCTGAGGATGACGATCTTGCAGTGGGCCCCGCCAACGCCCGCCCATCGTGCCAGTTTGGGGCAATCCCGCCGATTCGCCAAAGCCCGCCGTCCCTGACGGTCCCTGACAGGCAACTCGACCAAGCTTGGGCCACATCAATCAATATGTGGACCTCGTCGAGTTTACCCGAGTCACAGAATCCGCACCAGGTCCATCCCAGGCCCATCCGAGTCCATTGCGAGATCCATTACCGTCAACTACGGACCATACAACACCGTCTCCTTTATCTACAGACGTGATGCCGTCATGCACGATCTAAGACCCGGACAGCGCCGCCCAATTCCACGTCTTCTTGGCTTCAGCTCCCGACGACATGAGTCCAGAACTAACCATCACCCAACTGCCAAGCAACCGGTATTGGTAAAACAAACATGAACAAACATATCCACTCCCATCTCCATTGCTTATCTCGACTCTTACCAGCTGGGCTCCTCTTTCTCACGGTAGTCGGCCCCTTCCAGTCTGGAAGTCGGGCGGAACTTGATTTCCACTGCCGGCATGGTACGGCCTACGGGCGGGTACGGGGTGGGAGGACTTCACGTGTAACCTCCAGTTTTGTTGTTCAAGCTGCTCCATTATCACATGCCATTGGTGTGCTTGCTAATATGTCATAGGCCTCATTGAATACCGTTTGCCTGAAGGAGACAGTCAAGCAGTCAAATCCTGCCTCAAAAACCCAGCAAGCAGCCAAGTGGTGATAGCTTCCCAACATGTCGGTAACTCGTCCCAAGAGTGCGGTTGGTGCATTAGTCCCAAGAATCGATCGGAGCGCCGTCCGGGTGGGTAACGTTCCAGACCGGACGGGATCTAGGTAGTCTGGATCTAGCAGCTTGGCCGTGGTTTCTTCCGTTGCTTGGTATTACCGAAGCATGGCTATTGCTATGTGCTTATCAGTACATGATGGTACTTGAGACAAAGTCCGCTTCGCACTCGGGCAGCTACCTATTTCGAAGGGTATTATCCAAATACAGGCCTTCGGATATGGGTCTCCAGGATACCTACACTGTTGACGTTAACGGCGGAGCTTCCTGTTCCCACTCACATCACTTACACTTGACCAATAGCAGGCATATCATTAGCCAGATAAATAAGATGAGAGAGTATAAGCCCAGTCACCCTGGACCTGTCAACCGTGTAATTTAAATGAACCCGATATCGGAGCAAACTTGTAAGTGACCGAATCTGGGAGCTCTCCATTTTGGTGTGGAGCTCTCTAGGAGTTCAGTAGGAAGAAGAGTAGGGTTAGGGCTATGTATGACAGTCGGTCAGGGTTATGCGAGATTGATGGAGCTTTCGTGGCCAACGTCACGATATCAGCATTGACCAGAAAGTCCAATATTCAACGTGTTTTCAACATAGACCGTAGAAGCCATACGCTATCCAGCTTCTTCGAAGGAAGTAGCCAAAAAAAGACGAATTCAATGGTAGGAAATATCACCAAGGCCTCAACCATGGTTGCCAAGACCATGCGCCCAAGCTCCCCATAGATAACCCTCAGGTCAAAGTAGCTTCAAGCTACCCCTGTCACAATCTCAATGACGACACATCAACTCGTCCCTTGACTGAGCTTTCACCACTGAACCACGACACACACCAACGGCCAGACAGCAAAAGTCTCTCTGTCTCTGGAAATTTCAGTAAAAATGGGCGCCGAATCCTCAAAGGTTGCGCGCAAACTACCCAAAAATGCGACAGCCGCCTCCATCGCCGCTGCGTCGCGATCTGGTGCCGGCGCTGCACCACGAGCTCCCCCTCCTCGCGTAAACGGCGGACAGGAGGCGTCGCAGTCGCAGATGGAATCAGCTTCATCAGATACCTATGAAGGTACGTATTGTATACACTCTTACTCTTTATCCTGACCCAGCTCGCTTTGTGAGTCTCGAATGAATGAAATGAGCTGACCTCCCCAACCCCGCAGTAGCCGCACCGCCGACTCAAGATCACCTTCACCATCACCACCAAGGGCAACAACAACAACCACCTACAAGGACATCAGCAACTTCTTCATTCCAATCTCCAACAGGATCAGGTTCTCCCCTAGACGCAATCGGCGACCCCGCCTTCGCCGCCCGCCTCCGCCAACTCTCCGCCACCGTCCAGCCCAACCCCATCCACTCGCCTTCGTCAACCGTCTCCGTTCATCCTCAACCTCAACTTCAATCGCAGAACCTTCCATCCTCTAACAAATTCCAGTCTCAATTCCCATCCCGCGCTTCATTCCAATCTTCCCAATCACCCCAGCAGCAGCAAACACCCCCTTCCTCCCCACAAAAAGAAAACATTCCCACACTCCTCTCCCCCTCCTTCCCCTCTCTCAGATCCAATGCTACCCTAACCGCGCTTGATGCGCGTAGAGAGTTAGAACAAAAATACGAAGAGGAGATGGATAAGTTTGGGAGGAATGACAAGACTTTCAAGGGCAGGCAGTTCTTGTCGGTGCAGATGGTCAAGGATGTGTTTGAGCTGAGGAGGAGGGGTGTGGGTACTGAAGAAATTGAGAGGAGACTGGGGTTGGCGAGGGGGGTGGTGAGGGGCATGGAGGGGGGTGGGGTTGTTAGGGCTGTGGATGCGTTTGAGGCGCGGGCTTGAGTGGGAGAGAGAGAGAGAAGGGGGGTAGGGGGGTTGTGTGAGAGGGGAGGCGGTTGTGGTTGGGGATGGAGTGGGTTGAGGGGTGGATGTGATGGTGACCGGGGGAATAAGAGGGGGCAAGAAGGAAACACAGAACTTCTCGGGGGGGTGGGGGGTAGTATCAAAAACAGATGTGAGAAGCTGGAGACTAGGACAGACAGGACTAGGTTCAAGCTATCTGCGGAGACACAGCACGTTACATGAAAGACAGAAACTATCACTAGATCAGGAAGGCCAAGGCACAGAGAGCACAAAACAGCATGTAAGATAGAGGTAAAGGAGAGGGTGAATCGAGGCCAACTTTGTGAACTAATAGCAAGGCCTATATAAAAGTCTTGCCTTCAAAAAAGCCGAACCATGTCCGAACCGACCACAACCATTCACTTCTCAGAACCCCATCACTTTCCCTTCCCCTCAAAGCCTCCGTCCCACAGAACCCTTTTCTGGTACATAGTCCTCCTCCGTTGCCTAGCAACAACTTCTCCCTTCAGTACCCTCTCAGTCGTTGTTGTGGTCCACCTCAGTTCACTCCATTCTCAGTTCTCCTCCACTACCGTCAAGTCAGGTCGCTCAAGTTCTTGGTCGTCTGGTGAGAAGGGAGAGCCTTGTGGTTTGCCAGTGCTGTGAGGACGAAGTGAGCAACTTGCTCTCCTGTCTCTTGTCTCTTCTTGCTTCTCGTTGCTTGTACGTCCATAGGAAGCTATCGACTGCGATAGGTAGAGTAGGTAGGGAATGGAGAGTTGTTGCTTCTTAACTTTAAGCAGGCGAGTTGGGCGGGGTTCTCGGGGGTCTCGGGGGAGGACGAGGGGGCGGCTTGGGCTTGGGCTTCACAGGGGGGAGGAGAGTGCTCGGTCTGTCTTTGGCAGGCATTTCGTCTGGTCCACGCGTCGGTCTTTGTCTGGTTTGGTTTGATCTTTGTTTTGGTTGGGATTGAAGGTTGGCTTGGTTTTCTTTCTAGAGATCGCAAGGTTGACTTGTTCTTGGTCTCGGTCGCGATGTTGGTGAGTGGTTGGTTGGTGAGAGTAGAGAAAGATTCTTTTGCTGGGGGAAAAAAAAATGGAGTCAGATCATTGCCTCAATAGAAATGGCAGATGATATTTTTGAAACGCATAATGATGTTTCGAATGCTGTGGAACCTCAAATACTGAATTATTTCTCAGTGTCCAGTTCACAATCTGGTCATACTATCTTGTGAAAGGTATGCGCAATTCACAAAGAGGCGATGGCGGGGAACTACCTCGAACTGGCAGCGACAAGTCCAAAAAGTAAGCAACGGTAAGAACGATTGATGTACTAGCTCAGTTGACTGATAGAGACCTTCGCTGTTTCCTTTCATCTGGTTGTGTTGAAGCCCGGGAAGGAACTACCGTTACTTGAAAGAAAGAACTAAAGTTTAAACTCCAGATTTGGGAAGGAAGCATCGTCCTCCAAATAGATGTGGTCAACCAGTCAGTCACGCCCAAGCTCAACGTGAAAAGAGAAAGCAAAAGTGAAGTCGAGAAGTTTGAACATTCATTTCGATTCAAATCCCATTCCATCTCACCCCATCTCATTCATCCATCATATTAAAAGGTTTGTACAGTGAAAAAAAAGGCCCGCTTGGTTTAATGAACACGCAAGAAAAGCTTCAACTCTATTTACCCCCCACAATTCCCCTTCATCCTAAATGGTATCACTTTTTTTTCGTCCCAACGCCTATCAGTGCACCCTCTTCCTGTTTTTCCCTCTCCTGCTCCCGTATATGCTCAAGTTTGTTGATGATGAGGTGAGATCTTTTGATAACGATTATCCCCGCCGCCAGCCGCATTCGATAACCAATAATGCACACTATTCCGTAGAGATGCCGATTTCCTCTCTATCCCAGCGCTTACCCTTACCGCCACCGATATCGACGCTCTTCTTCTCTTCTCTCCTCCTCTTTTGGGTGCTGAGGTAGACCATGCCGTTGTTGACACAGATGACTGATGTGGCACGTGCGATCCTGACACGGCGCGCATACCCATGCCGGGCATCACTGTTGTTGTTGGTGATATTGTCATGTCTCGTCTGGTGCTTATTGAAGAGGGGCTGAGCAGAGTCGGGGATGGTTGTTGAGTGCTGCTGTCTATGCTGAGCCCGGACACGGCGGCGCGGTTTCTCCATTTGGGCAACTTTGTGGAAAGCGATGGAGATCTTCTCGCCTTGCGCGGATCAGACACGACTTTTTCCCATCCACCCCCTCTTTCTCTGCTCATCCTTGTCACCCTCTCTTCGTCCTCGGCCTCCTCCTCTGTCAAAACGATGGTCTCTATTATGAGACCCAGCTTCTTGATGTCTTGGTATTGTTGTTTTTGATGATGATGGTGTTGTTGTCGATGTTGTTGTGGGCCATACCGCGAAGGCAGTATGTTGTGGTAGTGGTTGTCAAAAGGCCGGTAATTGCACGACGACGGACTGACAAAGTTATGATCGATGTCCTGAACCTCAGGATCCCGTGCGATTCATCCTTGTTTGGATACCAGATCTCCCGTGGTGAAGATCTCGCACTTGATGCGCGAGGCCGAGACACCTTGCTGCATGAGATAGAGTTTTTGGTTGATCATGAACTGCTCCGGGCCGCAGATGAAGTACTCAGTGCCACCATGCTGAAGATAGAGTTCCTCGGGCTTGAGCTTGGCCAGGTCCATGCGTTCGTTGTAGTCGTATGTCTCGCCAGGGCGATCACTCCTGTTGATGACGGTCTTGAAGATCTTGGTGTGGAAGTTGGAGTTCTTCTTGCGCAAAGCCCTGAGGTGCTCCTCGAAGGGGACATACTTGCGGCAGCCATGGAGCCAGGCGATCTGGCGACCGGGTTGACTCTCCATAACAGTGTTGGCGATAGAAACCATGGGAGTGACGCCGGAACCAGCAGAAATCAGAACCAGAGGCACGGTGCTCGTGTTGTGGACATCCAAGAAGAACTCGCCAGCCGGGTGGGAGACCTTGAGGATAGAAGCTACGGTAGTCTGATCGATAAGGTAGTTGGAGACAATGCCGGGGTTGAAGAAGGACTTGGAGACGGAGTTGGAGTAGACGGTACCCTCGTCCCGGCGGACGGTGATACGGTAGTAGTCCTCCCTCCACGCTTCACTGAGGGAATACTGTCTGGACTGAAGGTAGCCGCCGGGGACCTGGATCTGGACGGAGATGTACTGGCCGGGGAGGAATCTCGGTAACTTCTTGCCATCCTGAGGGACAAGGTAGAAGGAGAAAAAGTCATCGCACTCGTTGACGATCCTGTCGACCTTGAAGGGGCGCCAAGAGGACCAGCTCTCAAAGTCCCTGTACAACTGTGCCTCGCGCCCGATCAACATCTTGGCCAACATCCAATACGCCTTTGTCCATGCCGTCTGCACCTCGGGTGTCATCGCGGGGCCCAAGACCTCGCCGAAAGCCTGGATGAGATACTTGCCGACGACCTCGTAGTGCTCTGGCTGGATACCCAACGAGCAGTGCTTGTTGCACATGCGCTCAAACTTGGGGACGAGCTCGCTGAGGTGGTTAATGTTTGAGGCAAAGCCCAAGATGACGGCCGTCAGGGCACGAGGTTGCCTGCCATTCTTCTGGTTTACCGAATTGAAGTAGTTGTTGAGTTCGGGGTGGTCGGTGAGCATAGTCTTGTAAAAGATGCTTGTTATCCTCTCGCCGTGCTCCTTGAGAGCCGGGACGGTGTCCTTGACCAGCTTGGTCTGCTGATATGTAAGAGCCATGACTGTTGGCAAGTGTCAGGCAGACTTTTCTGAGGGAGGCTTTGGTGTGGTGGAGCTCCAACGGCGAAGGGCGAGATGGTGGACGACAAAGCCAGTGAGCGTAGTGTGATGCCAGCGACAAGGCGCGAGATGGGAAAATATGTATCTTTTCAAGAAAAAAAGAGAGATGATGTGGACATTTCCTTCTGGGACCTCAACAGGTCTATTCCGTCCTCGGCCACGCGATAGTTAATAAAGGCAGGGCATGGCCCAGAGGGACCCCTTCCAGACAAGGTCCAATGGATGGAAGGACCCATCATCCATGAAGAGTGGAACATTTGCCATCCTCGCTCAAGCCAGGGTTCGGCGAGTCAAAATAGCCCGATCGGTCGTTGTTATCTCGTACGATATCCACAGGGGGCATTAATTGAGAGGTAATTGGACTGCCTGAGTGAAAAATCCACCGTCTGTCACTTGTTGAAATTTTTGTTCCGTCGAAGAGTGCCATGTGGTGAGCAGGGGTGGTCTCTAACCGTGGTTCAACTCCAATCTCTTTTTTCTGTTCTTGTCGAGCCTCAGCCCTGCCGGGGTTCGGGGGTACTGTCTAGGATCCAACCGCAAAACCGCCACCGTCGATGCCATCGCCAGCATGGGGGGGGCGGGAGAGTGGGATGTCATTCCCGCTATTTCCATGAATAGGTGAGTTGCCGTGTTGTGCGGGTTGTGACGATAGATGGCATCAAGGACGGGAGGGTGTGACTACAGATTTGATGAGATGGACCAGGACCGAGCAACCCCACACCGCAGTTCCATGATATCCTTGGTTGTGGTTGCGGTTGAGGTGGTGGTGGTGGTGGTTGGTATGTATTGGTAGTAATACCTTAATGATACCTATTTCTCTTGTGCGGTAGAAAAACCTGATACATACGCGGGAGCCGATGGCCAGTTGCCTCCGTGCCCGCATAAATTAGACATGTGCGGCCATGTGTTGCAGAGATGATGCAGGAGATAAGAAGCAAAGAGACAGCATGGCCAGGACGAACGATGATTGGATGGTCCAAAAGAGGCTCTAAAACGCCCCAACAAAAGTGGCCTTGTTCGTCTCGTCGGGATACCTCGTCACAACGGCTTCGCATGCAAAATGCAAATGATATGGCGTTGAATGCAACCCATGGACGGTTGGTGTTGTTCTTACCGCTTCTTTTGATCACCTCACTACCGGCGACTATCGTCATCAGCATGTAACGTTGTCTGAACTACCGCGAGACGGTTGAATTTGACGGCGTGCATTGGCAGCACAATGGCTCACTGGCGACGACTGAGTACAACAACAGAGGCGGCTGGTTCGCGAGCTCGGCAGACGTACCACCGTAGGCCGAAGTGGACAGACGGATATAATACCACCCTGCTTGCGCCATGTTGTGTCCTATGACCGTTAGTGATCTGAGCGGACCCCGTCGACAAGAAAATCCCTACTCAAATGCCCCTAGTCGGTTGAGGCAGTTGTGTTTCAACTACTTTTTTCCTCCCTCAAGCAGGATATTCAACGGTCGGGCAAAGAGATGAAACCGAAACAGACGAGACTTGAGAGTTGCCTTGGTTGGCAACTAGCTGATGGAGACTCAAAACCCCAGTCGCTTAGTGCTGTACGTTACCTCTACTGTGTATCCCATCCACTGGGTCCGGCGTTTGTAGCGGCCATACTCATTGAAGATTTTTTGGGCTGGGCGGCGAGAGAAACGAGCGTGGTCGTGGTCGGCGTGGACGAGCCGAGGAGGAACTGGGGCTCTCTGGGGGCTGTCCGCTGCGGAGTTGGCGAGCATGGTGCTGATCGCTGATCCGTTGTGCAAGGAAAATCCATTCATGGTCGACTTTTGATATCCATCCAGCGATCCCGCAAATTTCCGAATTTTCTCCTTGTCCTTCTCCCGTGCTTCTGCGACGGCGAGACAGCGTCTCGAAGCTGTGGGCGCAGTTCGCCGTGGTCGCAAAAGGATTGACGTGGTTGAGTGCGAAATTTGCACTTTTGGGAGGGGCCGCGTTGATTGGGCAATGGGCGGCAGAAGCTTCGATGGACGATCTAGAATGGCCTCATCGACCTCGGCTCGCTTCTGTCGTACGACTTTTTGGGGGAGTTGGGAGGAAGAGGTCCGTATATGGCTCTTGTCGGGCGGCTCCAGCGGACGTCGGATACGAAATTCGGTATATCTCTTGGCACGCAACAAAACAACGCCATTGTCCTGACTATGTACTGACCCGTCAGACTTAGCATTTAGGCGGTGTGAGTGCGTCGACAACGTCCTGCTGTCGAGCGAGCTGAGGAGCGAACCTGGATAAAGAAGGCGTTGCGAGATATTGTGGCAGATATTGTGGCCGCGTGATTCCTGTGATATTGTTGTTTGCTTCTTGGTGATGGTCAGAGGGCAGTTGAAAGGTGACGAGTCGAGTGGGAGATGACCCAAGAATCAAACCCTTCACTGAGATAATTGTTAGTGCTTACCTTCTGAAATCTTCCAAGAAGGCAAGCACCAGCCGTGTAAGACAGGCACCGTAACAGGCAGCGCCTGCCTAACTTTATCGCGACGAACTTCCACTTGCATTCTGACACATGCACTCGCCCATCGCTAGAGGGGAGCTATCTCAACTGCACTTGCTCTCACACACCGCCAAGAAAACATCACAGCAAAATTCTATCATCACGTGAAGCCCAACGACGTCGAATTGGAAACAGCAGGTTGGACGATTTGTCTCACGCATCCAGCGGCATCGTATTTCATGAATGGCAGTTATGACACTGGTCCAGATGGTCCGAGCTTCCCCATCCTCATAGTCGATATCGTCGCGCTCCGTCATCGTTATTCCCTGGACGTCTTGTTTCATGTTTCATACCTGCGCATCCTGGATTTGTTCCCCCTTTGTTCATCTCTATGTCACTGACATGAGCATGACGCGTCCCCTCGTTGCGAGGACGCTTCCATCTGAAAGGAACTGACATGGCACCGAAACTCTCCGAAGAAACGTATGTTTTTTTGCACGCGAGACCGCCCGAGTTATATCTCCAAGTTCACCTTGGCTCGGGCAACACAATCATGCAATTACAGTTGCGACCTACTTGTTACGTACAGGCCACTAAACATGGCTCCACGAACCACGAATCCTCGGTCCCTCCCACCATGGATCGTTCGGATGGTGGCGTAGGAGATCATCTCGGGAGTGGAGGCAGCGGTGGGGAAACCTTGGATCTGGTTCTCTCAGCCGTTTCCGCACCGACTTCATCCAGATTTCATCGATTTCATCCACCCTCCACATCCCAGCCGCCGCTGCTTCTAAACGAACCCTCGCTGTCTCGCATCTCATCTGGAGTCACTGCACCATCCATCGAGCCGCGATTACGATTATCGACAGGGCACGTCATCTCCCGCCCCGTCGCCTTTCCGTTGGTTGACGAGCCCCTAGACAGACACCGAGGGTCCCCGTGGCCCCGGCGAAGACGTCTTCGAAAATGGTTCGAGGGCGATATCTCCTCGGAGATCCCATCGGCCATATTCTTACTCTCTCGGCAATGCCGACATGACCAGAATCACCAGGACTACAACCTGTAATGATTGCCAGCGCATATCAGCACTTGACAGCGCTTGTTACTGGTCGGTGCTCTCCCGCAAGACAAAGGAGGTTTTCCAAAACTGTTCCATCTCGGTTGAGCGTTAGCTGCTGCTCGTTACGAATGCGACTTGGCACAAAAATAGCGCTGCTACTGTCGTGATAGCGTCAAATCCCAGACATAGCGGCCGAGTATGGCAAATGGCGCTGACAATAATGTTTTGTACTGTGCAGTGCAGGTGCAGTGTTGCTGTTTCAAGTCGACACAGTTACCCTACCCGACCGGTTCCATGATTGTGGTTCGCTATGCGGCCAACAAGACGGGCTGTTGATCGGCCGCCGCGTGGTCCGGTAGTCAACAAACAAAGTGGGACACCCCGGATCCCCAGCGGTGCCGTTGCGACGGTGTTGCGGTAGGTGCCGCAAGTCGGGGGTCGGGGGTGTCACCTCAAGGTCCGTCCGGGTTTGGAGCCCGGGTGGGTCTCCCGCAACGGCCCCACTCTTTAACCCTGAAGGAGAAGGAAGTGCGCTCTCCAGGTCTTCGTCGACTTCAGTTCCTCGCATTATCGGCTTCCAACCCGTGGACGATATTTCATGCATAATACTGTCTCGGAACGCACTTTCTTGACAGCGGAACGTAAGATGGTGTGTTACACACAACATTAACAGGTGCGAGTCGTCTAACTCGGGTAAATATTCCCTGGTCTGGTCCTCCTTCCGCACAGCGGTTACCTACTGAGTGTCGTTTGCTGACAATTCTAACGACGCTCCTTCCTCTGCATTGGAGAATTGCACGATGCCATTCAAAGGTACATCAGACCAAAAAAGAGTGTTTACGCATCTTCCCCTGATATTTATGAATCTTTCGTAGTTCAACGCCAGCGTGCGAGCCAACATCAAACATCCAGTCATCAAGTCTCACTCTGGATAATTCCATTGGCGGATTTTCTCCCCTCCAACCCCTCACGATGATGCATAGACTTTCCCTTTTGCTATCGATTTCATCGGAACAAGACCGCATGCATTGCAGATTTGGCAATGTGCGCTCTGAAGCCTCAACATTTGCACAGTATACGGTCGAAGACGGTACACTTCAAAATGCTGTCCACTCTCAATGACAGGGCGGAACGCCACCTCCTCTTGAGTCTCGATATGGTCCCCTCGTTTTTCCCCTCTGGGTTCCCCAAATCGGCAAACCGTCCCAGGATAACTTCATCCTTCAATAATTGCCAAGCTTGCAAGGTTGTATTGGATTGTGAACTCCCGTTCACAGATACTAGCTAACTCAGCCCGGTGTGTGACATCTCGGAGCTCTTATGCTTCGCTGATTTGGGACAATCCAGATTCCAGAGTGCTCTGTACCAAACATTGGCCCGAAAAGATAGGGATACCAAGCTTCAGCGAGCCCTCCTCAGCGGGAGGCTGTCTCACCGGCTGCAGGACCAGCAAAGCATAGACTGGCTCCAAGATGGGGACTGTTGGCTCTGACATGGTCAACATCACAGCAAGATGAAAATCTAGAACGATCATTCCTGCGAAGAAACGGGACGGGGTGATGATGCATTATCACACAGTGCCGAGTTCTAAGAACAACTTCTCAAGTGAGGGGTGCTTGTCAAGTTGTTGGTGTCATGCACCGATTAGTCTCGACATTAGCTGCAGGTGTCAAAACTGATATTGCATCGATCGTCCTTTCTGCTTTGGGATGACATATTACCAACAGCGACGTCGTACTTATCAAACCCGCTCCCTCCTCACAATGTTCCCCCTCTGGTTTGAATTGATCTTGAATTCCCGATACGTATTGCTCGTTGTTTGTATTTGTTCTCTTTGGCATTATCATCCTTGATCTCGACCTACGAGTGACTCGCAGATTCATGAATTAGACAAGCACCTTGAGGACCTCTCCATCCATCACCGGTGAGTATATAACATCACCTTTCCTGCTTGCCCATAAACCATTACTAAACCATCGCTCACAGATACTCTTGCAAGCTCACAATACACATCTCAGAGAACCCAGCCCAGGTCCAGCAATCTTACCATCAACCACAATGACCAGACTTACCACAAAGGCCTTCGCGACCCTCAGGGCCACCATGGTCCCCAAGTCAACCTCCCGCCTGACTCCCAGACTCACCAGCACCACTTTCCTCCAGCACCAACACCGAACCGTCATCCCCCAAGCCATCACCCCCCTCACTCACACCCGCTCCCTCCACCAAACCCCCTTCCGCCCCCTTCCCGCATCCGAGCCCTTCAAGCTCGACCGCACCAAGCGCCTCCCCGAGTTCTTCTCCCTCCAAGACAAAGTAATCCTCATCTCCGGCGGCGGGCGTGGCGTCGGCCTCACCCAAGCGGAAGCCGTTCTCGAAGCCGGCGCGCGCGTGCACGTCGTCGACATTCTCCCGGACCCTTCCACCGACCCCGACTCTCCCTTCTCCGCCGTTGCCAAGCGCGCCGCCGAGGAATTGGGGTCCAGCATTACTTATCACCGTGTTGACGTGCGTAATCAGCAGGCGTTGAATGAAGTTGTGCAGAGTATTGCCAAGAAGGAGGGCAGGATGGATGGGTTGATTGCTGCGGCGGGCATTCAGCAGGAGACGTCCGCGCTGGAGTATAGTAGGGAGGATGCGGATAAGATGATGGGGGTTAATGTCACGGGGGTGTTTATGACGGCGCAGGCGGTGGCGAGGGTGATGGTTGAGAATGGGTGGACGGGGAGTATGGTGCTGATTGGGAGCATGAGTGGGACGGTGGCTAATCGGGGGTTAATTTGCCCGTGAGTTTGTTCTTTCTTTTTTTCGTTCGTTCGTTCGTTCGTTCCTTCCTTTCCTTGCTTCTTTCCTTCCTCACTACTTCTCTGTTTAAGTCCCGGCTAACCCCCCCTCCCCCCAAAAAGTGCCTACAACGCCTCCAAAGCCGCCGTCATCCAGCTCGGCCGCAACCTCGCCGCCGAGTGGGGTGAGCACGGCATCCGCGTCAACACGCTTTCGCCGGGCTACATCGTGACTGCCATGACGGCCGGCCTCTTCGAAGCATTTCCCGAGCGCCGGACCGCTTGGCCCGATGCCAATATGCTCAAGAGGCTCAGTTACCCGGAGGAGTACCGCGGCGCGGCAATTTTCTTGCTCAGTGATGCGAGCAGCTTCATGACGGGCTCGGATCTGAGAATTGATGGGGGGCATTGTGCCTGGTAAGGGGGAATGTGGGATTAATATGCGACGAGATGATGGGGATGTTAACAGAAGTTGGAGGAAGCTCGCCTAGCACGGGGGACATGGGGGGGGGGGGTAGTTACGGACTGAAGTGGCGCGCTACACCTCTGCCGACTACGCTGTCTTACCCACGACTATGTGATGACTGTACCTTCCAAACACAGACCTTAAGTACTGGGCAGCTATCAATAGACTTCCTTGGTCTTGGCTCCCCAATACAAGTAACCGAGCAATGTGCTTAGTATCTCTTCACTCAAACAGTGCGCGACAAGATTCTGAGACACATCGATTGCATTCGATCCAATTCAAGTACCTCCCTCTAATGTTCAATACTTAAACCAGTACTTTGTCGGAGGCATGCCAACCAACCGCACATAACCAGCCAACCAGCCGAGCATAACGGCAACGCCCACATGCAAACATGAACCCCCTCACACCACGAACATCACTCGCCCACTGCACCACCCTGACCCTTATCCTCATCCTCCCCTTTCACTTCCTTTTCCTCCCCCTTCCCCTTCGCCCTCTCCGCCTCCCTCTCCGCCCTCCTCCTCTCCACCCACTCCCCCAACTCCCTCCAAATCCTCTCCTTCTCTGCCCTCCCAACCGTCGCCGCCAACCCACTAGTACTAGTAGCCACAAACACCCTCGCCCCCTTCCACCCTGTTGTTCTGTCTGTCTCATCAACACCCATATTCTCACTCTCATCCTGCCACCCATACTTCCAATCCTTCGGCAACACTGCCCCTCCCCCTCCCCCTCCCCCTCCCTTCCCTTTAGTACCCCCCTTCAAGTTCATCCGCTGCCGCTGCCGCTGCCTACAGCGTACCCGGTAAATACTCTCCCAAATCCCCTTCCCCACCACCGCCACACTTTCCGGCTTCCACTCCCTAACTTTTTGTTCCAAAACTCCAACCCCCTCATCCATCTCCCCCTTGCTTAGCTCCCCCCCGTTTCTCGTCGGGCGGCCCACGATATTCGTCAACCCCAGCGAAAACCGTTCGGGCAAGGACCGGTCTTCAGACGGAGAACATAACACGGGGGTGATGCCGCTGGAACACAAAAGGCGCCAGAAGAGGTTGGTAGGATGCGCGTAGGCGTGTTGCTGGATGGCGGTGGAGATGCCGGGGTTGAGGCCTATGAAGAGAGTGAGGAGGTTGGGGGAGAGGGCGTCGGGGAGGGATTGGGGGATGGAGTCGTAGGTCTTTTTGGGAAGGGGTTTGGGGCGTTTTTTGGAGGTGGGAGTGAGGGAGCCGGAGCCGGATGGGGTGGGAGAGGTTGAGGCGGAGGTGCTGGTTAGTTTTCGTTTTGATGGGGTTTTGGTCGTTGTTGTCAAGGTGGTGGTGGTGGTGGTGGTGGTGGTGGTGATTTGGGTCTGGGTGGTCCTCCGGGAGGGAGATGCCGAAGAGGATGAGGAGGGTGCGGTTGTGGTTATGGTTGTTGGCTTGGTTGTGGAGGATAAGCGGGTGCTTCTGCGGATTCCACCTAGTGATGGTGAAGGTGATGTTGATACTGAGCCATTGCCGTCGTACTTGAAGTCTTGGAGCTTAAGACGGCCGGCGAAGGTTGGTGGCGGGGGTGTATGTTCTCCGTCAGGCATAGGAGCTTCAGGAGATGTCATGATTGTTTTGTTCTTCTGTTGTTTTGGTGACCAAGTTCCCGTGCGACGGTTGTGAACAAAGAGGAGTTTTTGTTGTTGTTGTTGTTGAAGATGAATGCCTTGGGAAGTTTGTTGTTACACTTGCCCTTTTCATCAGAGATCAGACGGGTGCCTGCCGTGGTGATTTCTGATTGGCCTCATGCGCAGACTGTACACAAGCCGCAGGTGTTGAAAAGTTGCCGCCACACCGCCACCCAAACTTATGTCTGCTTACGGGCTTTTCGGATGAACTTCTCTCCTGCGTTTTTTTTTTTTTTTGGGGGCTAGCTTAGTTAATAGTCATTAAACCAATTTTGATATTCGTAAACCAGATCGTGAAATCCTAAAAGCATCTATGTACGGTGGTATGCAAGACCAAAACAAGATCTTGTCAACAAATCATTAAAACCTGGGGGTATCGGGTCCATCACCAACCTCATCTCCGTGTGATTTTTTTTCCTTAATTGGCATTATAGCCACTACCTCATCCTTACCAGCGCATATTTCGTAAATGGTATCAAAAACTGTGTTGTAAAAGAATCGAAAAACTGCCGATACCCCGAGTGTAAAGGGATATCTCATATTGCTCAGAACTCGTCATCAGACTCATAAGTTTCTTGGGGAAAATGCTTTAGGCCAGGAATACAGTTGCCGCAACAGTGGCCACGACGGGCCACCATCCGGCGTGCTCTAGCAACCTCCGGAGACCAGCAGCGCTGCTCTGACCACCAGTGCTGCTCTCATCATCATCTGTACCGCCGGACGCAGTCGTACCATTGGGCAAGGTGCCGTTGATCAGGAGGTAGTCGGTTCCGTTAACAGTGGCGACGGTAATCAAAGACTGGTTCAGCGAAGAGTAGCTTCCGTTTCCGATAAGGCTGTCGATATAGGTGGTGTTGGTATTCTCGTCGCAACCGCAGACGTTATACGGGTCGCAGGCGCAGGTGACGTTGCGCGTCTCGTCCTGGTCGGAGGTCTGGTTGTGGTAGGTGTACAAGTTGTGGTAGGGGTACAGGTAAGCACCATAGAGCCAGACGGCGGGCCAGACGGCGAGAAGTCCTATACCAGCACCGAGAGCGAAGGGGGCGATGCCGGATGGCGACCTGTTACCGGACTTGTAGGGTTGCGCCGCGCCACCTCCGTAATAGCGGCCACCACCGTAGGCTGGCTTGGGCCCGCTTCCACCTCTGGTTGCTCCACCACCATTGTAAGTTGGTGATGTCCTGCCGCCTCTGTAAAGAAAGTTCATGTTAGCAAAATGTATGGTTCACTGGGGCAAGAAAAATAACTGGGAAGGATTGGAGAGCCCGCGAGATCCGGCAGGAAGTCTCCCAAAGGCGACTTTGCTGATGCATACGAGGATCTCTGCTTCGGTTTGTTGTTGGATTTCCCACGAGAGGAGCTTCCCCCATAGTACCAAGAGTCTCCCCGGGAAGAGCCACTCGACGAGGAACGGCCAGATGAAGAGCCTCTTGAGGAAGAGCTTCCCGAATAAGAACCTCCGGAGTACGAGCTTCCAGGTTTGGATACTCCCGATGACCGCCTTTTCACACCCACGGGAGTTAGAGAATATGACTCGAAAAGAAAAGCACATACGATGAACCGGAAGAACCACTGCTTCCGCTGCTTCCACTGCTTCCGCTGCTTCCACTGCTTCCACTGCCGCTACTACCACTGCCGCCCCTCCTGTAAACAAACAAACATTAGCGTCGCCCTGCATGACGAACGCAATGCCACCGCTCTCCAACACAAACCCCAATAACCGACGATGGAAATCGAGAGAGAAAGCAGGATAGCGGGGAGGGAAGAGTGTTGACTTACCCTGAACCTCCAGATGAACCTCCAGACGAGCCTCCACTGCTGCTGCCGCCGCCGGAACTACCACCACCACCGCGACCGCCACCACCTCCTCCGCCTCTGCGCTTCCAAAGTTCCTGCGAAGTAGCATCGACGTCGCGGTCGATGATCTGAATGGGTTCGGCTGGCTCACGTCGCGCAAGGTCGGATGTTGGTGCGACGAGGGCAAGTGCCGGATTGACACAAAGGGCCGAGACAAGAATGGTGAGATCGAGCTTCATGATATGTTATATTGTGGTTGGTTGGTGTGGTGTTTCGGATTATTAGGGTGTTGGATTAGATACAGAGGAGGTGGGAATGATCCGGGGAAGAAAAAGATTTAATAGTCACGGCCAAGAGGGGAAACGGACGGAGCCAAGGGGCCGGAGCTATAAATGCACGATGTATGACTAGGGATGTGACAGGGGCGATAATGTAGGCAATTGTGAATAAATGGTCCGAAAGATGCGGGCTAATGTAAGGAAAAAAGGGTGCATTGAAAGATCTGGGTCGCCGAAAAAGGTTGACCGCTTCCCAAAAACCAAAGGCTGTGATCATGAGTGGCGCAGCCAGGTCTTCTCACACCAACTTCCGTCACGCCAAGGGAAACTTAATGGTGCTACCTTGAAAATGGAAGGAGATGACATGCTCCGTCGGATCTGAGCCAGGGTCGAGCCGCTGCGTTAGATAGCAAGTACTTGACTGACTCACCTGGATGCAGTCGAACTACCTGGCGACATCCCAACCTACCCTCCCCAGCGACTCGGCACGCCATGTAGCCACTAACGCTAACAATATGCTGAGGTGCCCTGCGCTGCCCACCAACTGTATGCCCGCCCTTCCATTCCTCACTTTTATCAGTTGCTTATAAAGACCAAGAGGTGCCGCCATCCCGTCCCTCGCCTCAGAGCATGCAGAGTTGGTTGTGTGCATAGCCAGGGCAACTTATCTCCCTTCAGACGGACTATGTACGAAATGACCGTTGGCGATTTCCGATGCCGAATGCATTCTCGAGTTTGCCCTCACTCAGCCACTGCTTCAACCACGAAATTCAGTCACCTGGTACGAAGCCGTCATACGCAGCATACTTATGGAGGCATAAGCGCACAAAGACGTCTTTCATCGGCCTGAACGGCATACTTGCGTAAAGGAAATCGATCTGGTTGGGTTTTGGCAGCGATAAGTCCGATCGATAGCTCGGATCGAGGTACCGAAACTGGGCAGTGGCTAAATTCTTACTCTTTTGGCTGGGGTGATCTCAGTGACGTAGATGTTCCGGCAGCCCAGCGGATGAAGTCATCGTCCACATCAATGGTCCCTTCACCAACCAGTCGCAACAACTGATTAAGATGCTGACACATAACGCGCGAGGACCCTGAAATTCTTAATGGCATGCAGCACAGCGGTGACGCCTAACCTTCCAGAAGCCATCGTCGTCGGTGATGCTGTTGGCCTGACCCGCCATCATTCAGGCAACCGCACCAAACGAGGCAGTGCAGGCACGTGTCTATTCCATGGCCATATCAGATGGCCACTTCCCCTGCAGAAACGTGACATGGTCACCTTTTTTACTGGTCTTGGACCGCAATAAACACCAATCGGGGCTGGTGGCTACTGAAAGTTACCAAGTCGGATGCTGTTAGTGATTGGTCGGTACCACCAGCCAACCGGTAACAGTCGTGGCCGATTGTGTACCTGCATTCTCGCAGCGAACAGACAGAACACAGAAGCCCTGAAGATTGCAACTCGTTATCTCATCCATGTTAGGACTTTTATATGCTTCAAATTGTCTGCCTCGAATGCGAGGTCTAAATATCCGGAATGCGCCTTGAAATCTGCCTAACTTGCATGGTGTGAGATCACGAACAATAACGAGAGCAAGCGTGTGTATACGATTGATTAAGTATACTATAGAGAGGAGAAGAGAGGAGAAAGACTAGCGGAAGGTCTGGGGGGTAGAAATATAGTGGCCAAGGCATGGTAGGCACGGTATAGATATGCCTACCGCGTGCGGGACCTACCAACACACCTCCATAGACCAAAAGACTATTATCGATAAAATCCTAGTCCTTCTTATTTACTATTTATATAGTAATAATCTATTGTTATTGTTTCTAATATTAATTAAGCCCAGAGCACTTTCTTCTATACTAAGCCTATTATCTTTACGAACTTTACATACTTATCTAGCTTTAATAGCTTTATAAAGCTATTAGTTAGCATTTCTTCACTCGGTAAATGTTCAATAGTAAATACCTTCCTATCTACCTTTTAAATTAATTATTTATAACGGGTATTAATATATTTATTCATTATTAGTATATTAGGGTTTAGGATTCTATCCCTTACGTTAGAACTATCGGTATATAAAATCTTATTAACCTTTTCGAAGCCTAAATTCACATTTAGATTATCGAATATTCCGCTAACCTAATTTAGCGCTTTTACAATTAGTACTAAATTAGTAAATTCTATCTCTATTGTACTTATAGTAATAAAATCCTACTTCTTTAATTTCTAGAGGATGGGACTATATATAAAGAATACGATATAATTAATAATACTCTTCCTAAATAGGATATTATTAGCGAAAGAGGTATTTATATAAGTATAAAAGGACGGTACTATTAATAGTAATAGTATACTTCCTTAAATAATACCTAAGTCTACGTATTTAAAGCGTATCGCTAGAAATATTTAATAATAAAGAAATATTTATCGGTAGGGTTCTTATTTATTTTAGAAAGTTTATTAACGGTATACGAAATATCCGGTCTTATACTTATTAAAACCTAATTTAGGGAGTTTATCTTTTTAGGATAAGATTTAGCCTCTTTAATAGATACTTCGTTACCCCTATAGACTTTATAATCCGGTAGCTATAATATTTTAACGCCGTAGAGTTTAATTTTGCTATCGTTGAATTGAGTAATAATTAAATGGGTATATTTCTTTTAAGAGATAAAGATTATACGAATCGAGCAGTCCCTAATAATATTATAATTTAAGAATATACGGACTTCGCCGAATTCTTTAAATTTAAAATAATTAGTTAATTAATTCTTAACTTTATTGACGATTTTAAAAATTAATATAGTAACGAGGAGGTCGTTAATGTAGAATATGATTATAGTATTAAATTGTCTATTGGTAAGGAGATAAAAATCTATATAAATAGGTACGAATCTAACCTTTTTAAAAATTAGAAAGAAGGTTTAAAACTAATAAAGTAGTGAACTTTTAAAATTATATAAGGCCCTTAAGAGGAAGTAAATAACTTTTTCTTTATTATAATTATCTAGGGTTCTTTCGAGAACTATTAGCTATTTAACGTAGTATTTAATATTATTAGGGATAGGGGTATTGAGAAATATAATATCGAAATTAAATTAGTAATATTCGTAAGCGTTTATTGCTATAATAGCTAGGAAAAGACGAATATTAATAGAATATACTATTACTATATAGATATTTTATATAGTTTAATTACTTTCTTTATAATTACTACAAATTACCTATTTTATTCTAGCTATTTAATTCTTACTATCGATATTAAATTTCTCGTTATATACCTATTTACTAAGGAGAATATTTATATTAGGAGTTTTAGGTATAAATATATAGACTTCTTGATATTCTAAAGCTTTGACTTATTTTTTTATAATTAGGAGTTAATATATTTCGAAGTTAGTTTACTTACGTACGATATAGTAGTTCTTAGAAATAAACTACTATATTTTTACTACGGTTAAATATAGTATATTATATTTTATTTTTATAGCTATAAGGTAATAAATATAAGTATAGCGTATAAAGCGGCGATTTATCCTATAGAAATTATTAGGTAACATAATCGATTTTTAAATAATATTACTTTAATTGTGTTTAATTCTTTAGACGATATATTTATAATTTAGTAATTTGACGTTAGAGCGATAAAATTTAGTTTAGAATTATTATTAAACCGGAAATTATATTGGTATAATTATAAATTCTGAAGATTATATCGGAGGTTCTAATATTTACGTCGGAAGTTCTCGGAGGTAAATCGGAGGCTGTAAGTATTAAGCCGAAGGCTAAAGTTATTAAACCGGAGGTTAGGTTTATTATAATGGTTGTAGTTGTAATTTACTAATTTATATTATTAAAAAAGAGTATATTATTGCGTACGAATAGGATTCGGTATACTTATAGGAAGTAGGCATACTATTAAAATAGGGTTTTATAGAGCGTTAGATAGAAGAATACTTAGTACAGTATATACGGTTAATTTATTATTAAAAGAATTTCATTGATCGCAAAGTTTAGGGTGCTTCTTATTAAAATCCTCCAAATTTACAAACTCTTATTATATTTATCGCCTTCGTTATTTTTACTATTATTATTTTTAATTAAAAGTATAATATTTATTTATTATTAAAGCAGGTCAAATAATGAAGGAGGATATTAAAACTTGAAATTTAGAGATTATTGATTCGAGGGTTTTAAAATTAATATTAGGGAGGCTAGAACCTACTAGGTAATTGAAGTAATCAGTTATTACAGGGGAATTAGAAGCACTAGAGGGTTCTAAAGAATTGTAATCGAAGTTACCGGAGCGGTCGAAGGTACTAGAGCGGTCGAGGGTATTAAAATAGCTTTTAGAGAGAGTAGTAATATATCGGTTATCTCCTATAGCTTTTTAACAATATATTAGGAAGGGAATATAATTGCCTATTATTAAGGCTAGAATTATAGAACTTTACTATCGACTTTGATCTAAATTTAGTAGTTATTGTTAGTAATGTTATTAATTTTATTGATAGTCTAATTAAAAGATTAATGTAATATTTAATAACATTGCCTTCGCTATTAAGGATTAAATTCTTTATAATAGCAGGGTTATCCTTAAAGAAGGTAACTACGCTAGTTCGAAAGATTTTACTAATATTAGGATTCTAAATAAATATAATACGGCTATAAAGGTTATTAAAGCTAATAAAGTAGCCTTTTTAGGCTTTGGCATGAAATTTATTACCTTTGGAACGCTTTTTTAATTTAATAAAATAATAAACAGTATAGAAGTAAAACTATAAATACTTAATAAAAAGTTTCTTAATTTCCTTTAGGAAATTAACAACTTCTATAAATAATTCTTATAAGCTTCTACCGTTATATACTTTTGAAGGCAAAAAATTAAATACCTTTACAATATAGGTAATTATAAAGGTTAAAAGTATTCTAAAATTCTAAAATCTATTATTAAAGCTTTAGTACGTTATATAATAATAGCGCCAACCCTTTCGATTTTTCCTTACATTTATAGGGTATAGGGTATTACTTTGAGAAATTCAATTCCTCTTATACGAGCCTAATCGATTAATTTGTTACGCTAGAATTCTTCAATATTAAAACCAAACTCTAAGCTACTATTAATGCTAAAGGCCTTGATTTTGAAGCCACTTTAGAACTCTACCTATTTTTTAAATTCTTTAATTTAAATAAAGGCATCGCTTTTATTAATTATAAATTTAGCCTAGTAGAATCTAATCACTTAGTTGATGAAATGGATTATATATTTATAACCTTTATATTTAGGTAAGGTATAGAAGACGATGTTAATGTAGATATAAGCTATCGGTTGATTTGTAACCTTATTACTAATTTTAAGGATAATATTGTAAGCTTCAGCTTTAATGTATATCTTATAGAAATACTTTTAGGTATTACTAAGTTTGATACTAGCCGCTTCATAGGCTTTAAGAACTTAACTTCTACCTACGTATATAAGACGGCAATACATTATTAAGTAATTAATTAATACTATTATAATATAGAGGGTATTTTGGAGAAAGTCTTATTAAGTATATACTAGGAGTATTAGGAGGTTATTAATCTATTTACATTGAATAATGATCTTGCTATATATTGAAATTTAATTAGTATATATATTTTTAATTATTCCGTTATTAAGAAGACCCTTAATTATTAATAAATTTATTAAGGTTAAAAGATTGTAAATAATATTATTAATTCGAACCTTAACGTTAATATTATTAGTTATTAATATATTGAATTCTATAATACCTATATAATAAATATATATTGAATTTCTATTACCAATGATATATATAATACGGTAGGGGAGAGGTTGTAAGCTTATAAACTATTTAAAGTAGTTGAAAATATTAGAAGTATAGTTTAAATTGTACATAACAAAGTTACAAAGACTATTTAGGGAGTATTATTACCTTAAAACCTATTGGACTTTAGCGGAATTATTTTAAATATATTAAAGTTATAATTAATTAGAATCATAATTTGAATAATGAAATTGAATACTATCAATACGTTAAATCGCGTTTGCTAAGGGCTTTAATAAAAATCTATACTTTTAAAGCCTATACTAGTAATAGCTATAAAGAATCTACTTTTATACAATAGGGTAGAATTCAGGGCGTTAGCTAGGGTAGTAAAGTTAGTAGAAGTATTATTAGCTAGAATATTAATATTAGTAACGGTTGCCTTCTTAGTGATAGTATCCTTCTTAGGCCTCTAAGTATTAGGAGCTTTCTTAAGGTTATAAAATTAATAGATTTCTACTTTAACCGTAATATAATAGCCGTATAGTATATACTTTTAGGTAGCGTCGACCTTCTTATCCTTATTTTTATCGTCCTTCTTGGTAGAAGATTTATTATTAAAAGAGGAAAAAGAGGTGCTATTACTTATCTTTTGGATGTTAATATTGAAGTTAATTATACGTATTTTAGTATTATTAATAGAGAACCTCTATCTGCACGGGGATAAAACTCTATCCGCACGGGGATTAAAATATAATAAGGTATAACTCGGCTGAACTTAAACGTAATGCGCCAAAAGTAGTATCAAATTGATTCTTGAATTTTGATGGAATTTACTATATAAACGCTGGTGTTTACAACATAAAGCCTACCTAAATATTTCTTACTCTTAACTTTTAGCTTTTAAATTAACTTCTTTTATTATTGGTATTAATTATGAGGGTTACAAAGTACGTACGCTTACGAGCTAGGGCTTATAAAATGCAGAAAAAATCAACAAGAATTCTAATACCTTGTAGGAGTTTTAATACCCTCTTTTCGTAGCGAAACATTAGAATTTGAATTTTGTTCCCCGTGTGGATAGAGTTTTATCCCCGTGTAGATAGAGTTTCTCTATTAATATTATTAAACTTAGTTAGTAAGTTATTAATAGTAAGGGCCTTATTTTTATCCTTTTCTTTGATAAAAATAGCCTAATACTTTATATTAATTAGGTATTAATACTTAATAGCATTAAATAGAAAAAGTAACTTCCAAATTATTAATAATATTAAATTTAGTATTTTGAATACGCTTATATAAGAAAGTATAATAGGTAAGGAAGGAAACTATAGTATTAAAATTGGTTCGCTTAATAGCTAAGAATTCGGCGAAAACTTCGTTATAAACTTTATTAGTAATACAGGTAATATAGGATTAAATAAAGTTATAAAAGACCTTAGGGTCTTTATTCTTCTTATCCTAATTATTAATAATTAGGGTAGTAATAATAATTTTATCCTTAAATATAGCCAATAGAATCTTTATTATATTAACGCGCTAAATAAACTAAGTCTTATACTCCGCGGGCTTTACCTCTTTATCAGGTTCGGCGACGGTGCTAAAAATATAGTTGGTAAGATTAAGATAATCGAATTCAACCTCGAATCCTTACTCCCAATTATTAATATTGCGCTCGCCCTCGAAGTAGACGAAAGAGGACGTAGATAAAAACATAGCGGTAATAATAAGGGTATCGCGTATTTAATTAAAAAGGTTTGCGTAAGTCGCTAGATTAAACGCTAATTAAAGTGCTTAATTTAAATTTGTTGCTAATTGTCGTAGAAGGGAGGTAAAATAATAGGTATTGCTTAAAATCTTTATAAGCGGAGTAAATAGGTAAATTTATCGCGGCGAATCGATCGAATTGAAGTCGTAAGGCTAAGAATTAAACCTTTATTACAAATACTAGAATAAAAGTATTTAATATAATAGATAGAATCGCGCTCATAAAGAAGGTTGTAGAGGGCTCATAACCTATAAGATTACGAATAATAACGAGAGCAAGCGTATATATACGATTAATTGAATATACTATAGAGAGGAGAAAAGAGGAGAAAGACTAGCGGAAGGTCTAGAGGGCTAGAAATGTAGTGGCCAGGGCACGGTGGGCACGGCACAGATGTGCCTGCCGCGTGCGGGACCCACCAACACATGGCCATTCCCAATTCGGATCTCCGGGGTAGCCCCACTTTTGCCCCGGCAGTCAGAAGTCACGCCCCGGTCCCACGACCGCATGCCTCTTGACCTCCCGCCTCCAACCATGCTACGCGACAACATCCGGACTTGACAAATTTCGACGGAACAACGATCCATTCTCCGAGCACTTCTGTCCTCTTCCCCTTTGGCCCGACGCCCCTGCAGAGACACTCCTGCAGACAGACACACCTTATCGCATCGCGAGATTACAACTCCCAACCGGTGAACCCGACTGCTGGGAGACCGTGACCATCACATCTATATCCAATCCGGTGCAGGCATGGCTTCAAATCGCCCGACCAATGACTTGGACAAGTCGCTTCTCGAGAGACTCAATGCCCTCAAGTCCACCAGTGTTACGCTTGATACTATAAAGTAAAACCTGACCAACATAAGCCTTCTCATGACAACTCACCATACTGAACCACTCTGTGATTTGTAGCCCTTCTACCACTGCCAATGACACCGCACAGGTGAAGCATTCTTTTGCCATTGGCCCTGCACCGTCGGTATCAAAAGAGGATGTTCTGACCGAGAGGTTGCGGGTGCTTCGTAATGCATCTTCATCATCAGTGCCGTCGTCGGCTTCTCCAGCGGGTGCCTCACCAAAGCCGCAATCAGACACTCAGGCAGAAGGCCGTGACAGTTCCCAGTCTCTACCCCATCCAAGTAACATCAGTCAGCAACCATCTAATGCTGGGGATACAAAGACCCAGACCCACACGCAGATCCTATCCTCAGCCTGGGGCCTAGAAGAAGTAGACGACCAAGCTCTGCATGAGCTTCTGGAAGGTCTACAAGATGACCTAAACCTGCAAGAAGATGTTCCTGCCGAAGACGACTATGGAGACGTCGATCTTCATGCTATTGCTAACAGCAACAACAACGACGGGGATGATGGCATCATCGAAAACGACGAGGACAGAGTCCAGAAACTTCTGTCGGAACTCGCGGCGCCCAAGCCTAACAACAACTCGTTTGCAGATGACCATGACGACGACAACAACAACAACAGCGATGATGACAACTCAGACGGTGAAGCCATGACCAAAGAAACGAACAAGATCCTCGACCAAGTCCAGGACGAGATCATCAACTTCAACAACAACCCTCCTGCTGCTGAAGACAACAACACAAATAACGACGCACACGACCCCTTCTCCCTCCCCTCCCCACCCTCAGGAACCCGCACACCCACGTACACCTCCACCTCCCCCAACAAAAACGACGACAACAACACCCTCAACCTCCCCACCGTCCCCTCCTCCACCCTCTCCCCTCCCTCCGGCTCCGGCTCCGGCAAAGAAGACGACCCAAACGACACCATCACCTCCCTCACCGCCCGCCTCTCCCACCTGCGCTCGACCCCCATAAAAACCGACGCCTTCGGCCTTCCCTCCGTGCCCACCACCACTTTGATCCTACCAGCCGATTCCTCTTTTTCCACCTTCCCTCCCCCGCCTGTGAGCACCAAGTACCAAACCAAATCCACCAAAAACTGGGTCGGCAGGGGCGAAACCTACACGGACCAAGATGTGAGGAGGTGGTGTAAAGTCTGTTTGGAGGATGCGACTGTTCGATGCGAGGGGTGTGATTCTCAGGATGGAGGGGAAGTGTATTGTACGCGGTGTTGGAGGGAGATGCATGTGGGTGTGGGAGCGGGGTGGGAGGAGAGGGGACATCGGTGGTTTAGGATTGGTGGTGGTAAGGGGGATGGGAGTGGGCCTACTACTCCGATGTAAGTTTGGTTTGGGCGAGGAGGGGGGTGTAGGGAGAACGGAGTAGGAGGCTTGGGAATGGGTGGTCGGTCGGTGGTACTGGTGATAGCGAAGATGGGGGCGAAGAGGACTGGAATGGCTCGGCTGGGTTGGACTGGGTGGCCCGTCGGGGTTTTGGTGCTGGGAGGAAGAGCTTTACGGAGAGTGGAGGTAAAAGAGGGGGTCTTACGTCTAGGTTTATGTGCATAGGGGTGGGATCCGAAGGCCTTTGGAAGGGTGGTAGACGATGAATAGGCAAGACATATGTTTGTTGTATGAAGACTTTGGCTCTTAGTTGTCTCGGTGTGAAGACACAATACCCGTCCTTGGTGAGGCACAACGAATTTATGTATTTCACTATTGATTCACCATCATCAGACAGTTAACGACTCGCTTAGGATGTCTTCGATTCCATAATGACAATTTGGTACCATAGAGAAAAACTGAACAAAAGCAATAACACAAAGAAAAGGCAGGATTGCAGGATCAGCGATGCCCATAACCATAACGCCATCCCTTCCCATCCCCAGACTTGACCCAACCAGCTTCAAAACCTGAAAATGAAATTACACTAATCCCGTACTTTCTCTCTACCAACTACAACAATCTGGGGGTAGCAAGGTAGAGAGACACCACAATGCATCACCACAGTCTTCTCACTAATGAGAACTGTTCGTTCCATTCGTCCCACTAGTCCCATACCCTTGACCGCCGGAACTTCCACCAACAGTCCTCCTAGCCCTGCCCGTGATATCCTGCCAAGTAGCGCCGAACCTCCTCGACGTGCTTGCCAGCAATCCTTCCTCCTCATCTGCCTGAGCCTCCTCGTCAATCTCACCAAGATTCAACCTGGGAGTCCTGACCAGACTCGTGATGAACACCAGCAAGAACACCGTCAAGAATGCAAACTGTGCCCAAAAGTCAATGGCGCCAAACACGGGCCAGTTGAGCACGATGCGGTTCAGGAAGGTGGACATGACGGTGGGCGTGCAGACGTCCTTGGCCAAGGGGTCGGTAAGAGACTCGGAACATGGGCGAATCATGTCTCTATGGTTCGTGCAGTCTGGTTGGGCACTGGGGAATCGAGCAAAACCTTGGCAAAAGGTTTGAGTGCCGTACATGGCGTACTGAGGGGCGAGAAGGTTGACGACGGCGTAGTTGATGGCCAAGATGATGAGAGCTTGCATGACGGTTGCGATGAGTAAGGCTTGAGGAGCGGTACGGCCCTTCTTGAGTTGGAAGATCCTGACCCAGAGGAAGCGGATGCCGACGGAAGCAATGCCGGTGATGGAGCTGCTGAAGAGGAAGAGGATCAGGAAAGCCATGAGGATGTAGTCGACGGGGAACGCCTTGGCGGCCTTGACGAAGACCCAGTTGACGGGCTGGAATACGTTGATGTGCCCGAGGATGTAGCCACAGTGGGACTTGCAGACGGAGTTGGCGGCCTTGTCGATGGCGGTGATGAGCATGGAAATCCAGAGGATTACCGAGAGAAAAAGCAGGAGGATGCCGCCAACGAGTTTAAGCGGACGGAAAACGGCCTGAGTCTTGGTCCAAATACGAATAATGGTGGATTGTCCCTCACCGCGTGCTTCGGCTGCTAGACGCTGGCGGCGAACGAGAGTGCGTTCCTCACGGAGTAAAAGGTCGAGCTCGCGCCTGTCCTTCTGAGACATGGCTTCGATACGACCAGCGTTGCGCATCTCGATTTGACGCTGGAGCTCGCGGTTGTGCTCGAGCTCGGAGGCAGTTGTGGCGGAAAGTTGAGGGGCCGAAATGGACGGGGCACTCTTGATGAAGGAGACTGGGAGGAGAGCGAGACCGGCTCCGGTGTAGAGCACGTAAAGGAGTGTACCCAGTGTCATGAGAAGTCCAAGGCCAAAGCTGAGAGCCTTCTCGCCCTTGTTGTTTGTCAACAGACGCCTGAAGTAGTCGAGGTCGAGATGTCGGCCATGGTCTTGGGCTGCAGCAGGGACGAAGAAGCCTACGAGGAACAGGATGATGACGAGGAAGATGAAGGCAATGGTATATTTCAAGGCTTGCGCGAACCGGGTACTCCAACTTTCTCTTCCTTCCTCCTCAAGGACCTCATCATGCTCTTCGTACCAGAAGTATGCGAACGGGATAACGACCAGGCAGAGAAGCGCATCGAAGCTGTACAGGGAGTAGTAGACAATCTTGAGCGTCGTGAGGATGCCGTCGATACGTTCGGGTGTTGCCCAGTCTTTCTTGGTGCCCCTCGATGCGGACGCGGTGGAGGAGACGAGGGCGATATCGACCGGAAGGAGGAACACTGTAGCTAGAAGAGATGTGAGACTGACGATGGCGACGGTGGTGACAAGCTTGGAGCGATCATATGGGGTCTGCCAGGTGAAGACGGTGATGACGGCGACGACGAAGACTAGAGCAACGGCGACGGCGTAGGCGACCCAGATCAAGCTAGTCTGGAGTAGCCCGGCGCGTGCCATCATTGGGGTGGTATCCATGGTTGATGACTGTCGATTGCGACAATCGAGAGTGGGAAATCTGTTGATGGATCGGAGATGGTTCAGAAACACTGCAGCATGTCAGTCAGACAACGGGAGATGTTAAGCTAAGGTAAGTTTGGTGATGCTGTCACGGAATGGAATGAGCAAACCGTGACGAAAGGGAGAGGATGCGGAAGGGACGGTTGGGACCTGTTGATCAATGTTACGGTACAAGAAACAGGAGCTGCTAAGCGTGACGTAATTTGGGGGATTTACTGTAGCTAAAGTTTAGCGTCCCCTGCGCTGCAAATGCACGCAATCCCGGGGGTGGGCCTGTCCTGACAAGCTGGTGGGGCCCTTGGCGGGGCGCTACACCTTCAATTGTGGGAAGTCTGCGCTACAGGGAATTCCTCTGACTGTGCATATTTACCTGCTGAGTTGTGATTTATTTTGTAACACCAAAAGTTCATGCAGCATTGATAAAGGTTTGTTGGTTAATTAGAGATATTTGAGCAATTGGGGCAAATTGCGGACTTTTACCTCAAAGTTCACAGCTCCGCGTTGATGCTTTTCTTGATGACCCATGTCGCCTGCGCGTTCAGTCCCCGCCGTTCAGTCCCCGCCGTTCAGTCCCCGCCGTTCAGTCCCCGCCGTTCAGTCCCCGCCGTTCTTGTCAAAGCTTCCACATCGCCAACTCACGTGGTCGGGTGAGTGCGACGCGACTGAACTTCAACAACCTCAATAAGCTCTCTCCAGCCTCAGCACCCTCGAAGGGGGCTTCATGCCATGCGATAAACCTGGCTAGACCTCAGGATGAAACGATAATCACTTTGAAACAAACTTAGAAAGAAGGGCTTTTCTCAATTGCTTTCCGGCGGCTTCTGCGACCCGGTCTCCGACTTGCAACACCAAACAAATCCCTGCTCCGATATCACCAGTCTCACCATGTCCTCGCCAATTCTCGGTATTCCCACCTGGTCGCCGGAATTTCTCGCCAGAAAACAGAAAATACCGCACCGCATTCTTCGAGTTCACCGGGATCAGCAAGAATTACTGGATCGCGAAGATGCCTGGAATCCAGATGGGTTTGCCAACGTACCAGCAGAACTCCTGCAAGAGGTCAAGGCTCAGTACATCCGCAGTATCGCACCTCCAACACCTCCACCACGCAAGACTCTCTCCCCGGCACCACTGTCTGCAGAGTCCGTGAGAGAACCATCAACACCGAAACCAACCGGTACAGGTTCCGAAGAGGGAACACCCATCCCTTGGTCACCATCCCCAGAGCACCACATCCGACCAGCGACGCCAGTGAACGATGTCGAAACAAAGGATAGAACACCAGGATTGGAGCCATCGCCAGAAAATAACTCGTCCCCTAAACCGGCGATAACTCCAGACCTACCAAGTCGAGCGCTGCCAGAACGACTTTCCTCTCAGAAACGCCCCGAACACCGTCCATCATCCCCACTAGTGTTCAAAGTCAAGGCTCGCGTTCCCTTTTTGCCAGAGTTCCCTCCAAGCAGTAGCGTTGCGTCCGAGGGCGGATTGGAATTTGAAGTCCCCAAGGCCGTCACCGACGTTCTTCCTCCAGTCAACAAAGGAGCCTTGCCTGTTCTCCCTGTTCATCCGGAGCAGACTCCTCCATCAGCCCAAATCATCCCGGCCAGCTACCTTGCTCGCACCACGCCGTCGAGGCCACCACCGGAAAAGCGTCGAAGGCTCATGAAATCTGCCACCACTATATATAGCGATTACAGGTCGACTGCTGAGCCCGAACGTTCCTCGGCTGCGTTCCCACGAGCGGAAACAGAAGACCCCTCGACGACCAGGTTGTCCGAGCATATTGCTGACTCCCAACAACCCCCTGAAGAGCAGTCTGCCGATACTAGTAGTCATTCACTAAAAACTGCGGAGCAAGCCACTCAACATCTGGCGAGTTCTGACGAGAAGATCCCACCGAACGGGCCGCCATCTCAAGTTCCTTACACTGCCTACAAAGTGGCATATCCAGATTACAAGGGCACCCTCAATGACTTTGTGCGGGCAGTTCTGTGTGTCCACGATCTTCGGAAACGAAGTGCTATCATGGAGTTCCTATACGACGACTTTGTCCGCTACTATTGCGATGATTATCTGCAGTACATACGCGAACAAGTTGATGGCAATGTCCCAGTCCGTACTGCTATCGAGTTGTACAATGACCAGGTTTCCAGACCTCACTACCAAAAGGGAGTCCTGACTAAAGAAAACATTAATGATGTTCTCGACAAGTATCCGGAGATGGTACGGTCGGTTAACGAAACAATCGGGTCTACCGCACCAGTCATAGAGGAAAACGGAGATTCAACCAGGCCCAAGGTGCCTATTCCATCGCCTTCAACGACGAACCATCTACCAAAGCCACGGTTGGTTTCAAAGTCGATCACGAAAGCTCTGGTCGGAACCCCTGAAACCGAACTTGCTTCGGATCCCATTCATCCTCCATCCTCGATACCAAAGAAGAGGATTCGGCCGGTTATCCAGACCATAGATCGTTCGGTGCCGCGTCGACTATCCAACAGGCCTCTAGAACTCGAGCCTCCTATTGAGGAAGAGCCAATACCGGGTTCAGATGGTGCGCCCATCGAGATAGGCTCGGCGTCTTCATCGCCATCACCATCTCCCTCGCCGCCTCCTGTACTTCCACAAGCACCTAGTCGTTCACAAGGAGGTCCTACTTCCTCAGCCACAAAAGTCACTGGACCACAAAAACAAACCGGTGTCAGCTCACCTCCACGAGAGGCATCAGCGGCCTTTAAAAGGCCACGGTTGGAGACTAGCCCACCACCACCTCCATCATCCTCGGCGAAGATCACGACGCAATTGGCCTCTATCAGTCCACCGCCTCCTCGTCGAGCCTCAAAAGTCGACGTCAGCTCCCCGGGTCATCCCATTACCCATCAACCACCACACCAAGGAGAAGACATGCATCCCGATTCCCAAATCGTACCAGGGACTCCCGCCCCAATACGAGCACCAGCACCACCCCTACCTCCAACCACCGCACCAAGCCCTTCCCGCCCCGGGCCTCTAATCACCCAAATCCCCGCCAACACCACTAACCTCCCCCTCCTCAGCCAGCTCAGCAACGCAGATAGCATCCCCGACCCCTCGGCCCCCTCAGCCCCCTCAGTCCCCTCCTCCACAACCCGCTCAAAGCTCCTATCTAGCACCGCCACCACCCACAATAAGAAACTCCCCCCTCCCTCCCACCCCGCTCTCAATCTCAATCCCCTATCAACCCAAATCAGCAACGCAGATAGCATCCCCGAGCCCAGCCTGCCACCGCGTCTTCAGCGTCAGCAGCGAAAATCAAGCAGCTCGGCCTTGTTGACATCTTCGAACCTCTCCCGACTAGCGCACATTACCAGTAGCAGCAAAAGGTTTCTGCAGCAGAAGAAGCAAGCAGCGGGAGCAGGGGGGGCTCCATCTAGTTCTGCATCGAAGGGATCAGGGTCGGTAGTGGTGTCTAGTAGTGCTGCCACTGGGGTTGTTGGATCAGGGGGGATTATCAAGGTCAAGGGTCACGATAAGGGGAAGGGGAAGGGGAAGGGGAAGGCGACGGCGAAAGATACAGGCAGGGATTTGAGGTCAGAGTATTTTGTTAATTTTGTGAGGGAGAAGAAGATGAGGGAGATGCGGGAGGCGACGGAGAAGGCGGAGGAGGCGGAGAAGGCTGCTGCTGCTACTAGCTCGAGTCATCCGATTCCGGGGAGTAGTAGTAATGCGCAGCAAGCTGGTTAAGGATTGTTGATGATGGGTTGGTTTGGTTATTGTTGTTGGATTATGGTATGTATATATGGATCGTTGTTGGATACTGATATGTGATAGCAGCAAGACAGTGCCATTTCGGAAGTGAATGTACACCTCCTGAATATCTCAAACAACAGTTACCCTTCTAATCTCAAACTCTTCCAATAGTTCCCGACACCCATCACCTGCATGCCCCATTTCTGAAACATCACAGCAATGGAAAAAGCCTATGCGCCGAAGCGTGTCCGGCCGTCCTTGGACCAATTCCTTCAGAACAAGCCCAACATACGCTGGCGAGGTGGTAGTGTCATTGTTGGCTTCATGCTGTCTCTCGTCATCATCCTCCTCCTCCTCCTCCTCCTCTTCTTCTTCTTCTTCCACTTGTTCCGCCAACAAAAGAAGCCACATGCCGGTCTTATCACTCCCATATTTCTCGACTCCCTCTTCTTCTTTTTCGGGAGCAGCATCAAGTGTCACCACCACTTCATGTCCTTGCCCTCCCATCGGGACCTTTATCTCACCCGATCCGGAAACAGAGCCTAGCGATGATGGGCTGCTCCACCAAAGCCGCGCTGCCGATGAAAAAGCAGTTACTTCTCTCATTGCCCCTTCAATGTCAAGATACCCAGAAGCAACAGAGTCAAACTCCCCGCCAGCATAAGCCGGGGTAACCACAGGCTCTTTCCAAATCTTGACGCTGGGCGCTGGTCGGAGAACCTGACTGTTCTTCTCATCGGCGGCGGGGTACATAAACGCGGCGTCGTCGATGGACGCCCAAGACCAGGAGGGGGCTCGATAGTCTGCTGGCCGCTTTTGGACGATTCTAGGGGGAGATTCAGAGCCGAGGTTGTCGTTTTCATTTGTACTTGTACTACTGCTCGTCTGCGGCACCGCAAACCAGCAAAGCGCCAGCGGGAGGTCCTCCTTCCACAATCCGGCCAGGTATTTCTTCCCCGTTTCTCGATGGTAAACTTGGGCGATGGCGGACAGGGCGCGCAGCTTGTCGGAGCCGAAGGAGAGGTAGCGGGAGGAGTATTCCATGACGATGTCGGACCATGACTGGAACGAGGAGAGCACGAAGACAGGATTGGAATTGTGATTCGACTGCTGATCAGCTTTACTCGTGAGAGTGGACGGCTCAAGCATGCCATAGGAATCGGAAATCGTCCTGCAGCTCCACTCCAGCAACGTGCTGCGGTAGAGTAACACTCGCTGGGAGAGGGCGTACTCCTGGTACGTCCACGCTCTCGACTCGATAGGGTCGCTTTCCCAGACCCGGGTCTCGTAGGCGTAAGCCACCTCCACACGCTTGCCCTCCTCCTCCTCCTCCCCCTCCTTCTCCTCTCCAGAGTCAGACCCCTGCCGAACAACATGAACCTGCAGCTTAATCGGCGGGCAATCATGATACCAGTGTCCGCGACGGTAAAGGAACCCGTCATCAGCCTTTGTCGACCACGCTGCGCTGATAGTTACGGTAGCGTGCTGGTAGATCTCGGGCATCTTGCCGAGTTCCCTCCTGAGGTCCTGTTCGTCGCCCTGGATGATGCAGAGGGCGTCGATCCACAGGTAGGGGATGGCCAGACCACGACACACACGCACGGCGTCTTGGATGGTTCGGGGAAGCTCGTCGAAGGGGATACCGTTGTAGTGAGCTGCTAGGGTTGCCTGGGTTGTCTTGACGGGCTGGTCGCCGCCCCAGACGTAGCTTAGCGCACACCATGTTCGGGCTTCGTCACCCACGCTAGAAGACTCCACGAGTCTTACGCCGTGTTCGCTGACTTGGAGGAGCCGAGTGGGTGTGAATGCGTCTGAGTCGGAGGATGATGGTGGTAAGCGGCAGTGCGGGTGGGAAGAGAGGCACGTTGAGATCCAGTCGCGTGAGAGCTGGAAAGCTTCCGGAGAGCCTGGGTCGCAATCCAGTGATTCACTTGGTTTTCCTGGTGGTTGTTAGTAACACCTAGGAGGGCGATTGGGTCTCATCTCTCTCAGACACTTACCCGAGGGGAGGATCACCTTCAAGATGTTGGCCAGGGGAAAACCACCATTGTCAGCCAGCTTGTGGGACAACTTAAGCCCTCTGTCGGTGAGCGATCCGTATACTATCTTGGAGCCATCAAGGTCCAATATGTCGGGCGAGAAACCTGAGTCCAGCAACTCACCAAGAAGATATCCAAACAACGGGCACCCTTCATCTCGCGCTAGTAACGCATCGGAGATGCTGTCGGCAAGGTAGACATTGCTGAGGCTGGAGAGCTGGTGTCCCCTGAGGCCCTCACCTGCTTTGAGCTCAGCTTCATCCAGGACAATCCAGTCGCAGTGGTGGCAGCTGTGAGGCTCGTAGGTGTGCTTCCAGCCGTGGTTCAAGGCGAGGGCTCTCTCTTCACCGAGACGATCCATGCCTACCGTGGAGTAAGGTTGCCTTGTGTGGGCTGAACGGACACTGACAGATCAGGTAAGCAGTTTTCACCACCGAAGCATCAGCCTCTTTGCTGAACGTTGTACCAGGTTTTTACTTGTCGGGCCGAGAAATGGAAGTGGGGATTTTAAACAGCGACGTTGGACCTGAGCCAAATCAAGGGAGAACCAACGTAAGGTAGAGATGCAGAACCAGGCTTTCAGCCGCAACGGCAACGGCACCTGTGAGTGCTTCCGGTGCTCATAGTTGACGCAGGTTGGTGGCGGGGTTGACGAGAAAGGAAAACGCTTCGAAATGGTTGGACAGAAAATTGGCCAACCAGTTAAAGGAGATGGAACTCAGCTTAAGAACCATTGATGGGGAAAATGCTTGGATCGTGGCTTGGATCGGGTCATCAATATTACTGTCATTGTGTGTTTTGATGGCCCGCCAGCTGTGGGAAATCCTAACGAGGACGGGAGCGCGCGACGGCCTGGCTGTCGTCTCATTTCGGCTGATCCCGTCTGCCATCCCCAAAAGCGACGATGTTATGGAGGACGTTGCGTTGTGTGGTGGTTGACGGGAACGACAAAAATAGGGAACAGGCCAGAGACACTGACGAGAAAGACCGGCAGAAGCCAAGAGGTTGAAACGGAGCAGAAATGGCTTGCCAGGCCAGGTCTACCTCAAAATATTACTGTACTACCTCTAGGCAGGAAATTCCAAACGGGGTGCACCTTCCACGCCTTGAAAACCCGTACATGACAACTGCTTTCCACTCCTTCCTTTAAGTGTGTCTTGTCGTCCCTCCATTCACGGTGGTGTACCTATTGTATTCTCGATTATTGTATAACCCCCGAGCGGGCATCCCAAAGTTCTCGTACGCCTTGCCAACTAAAAATGGATATGAAAAGCGCAAGCAAAAGTAAAGTGAACAACAAGAGTGAACGAAGAGCAAAAGAAAAAAAATAAGCAAGCGGGAAAAAAACATACAACACCTGGGATTCGCTGGTCGTCACCGACCCAACTACTAGTCAGGCGATTGGTGGCTTATCTATGGGAGAGCGGACGGGATCCCGAGTTTTCCACCATCTATGGCCGTATGTGCAAAAATGTCATCAAAGACAGCCTTATCAAGTTCCAATTCTCTCTCGCCGAACCTCTTCCTTTAGCCACTCCCATCCTACTAAATCCCATTACGGGCCCTTATGTATAAACAGATACTCCTCCTGTAAACAAGGTGACAAGTAGCGCGGCAAGCGCGGAACGATTTGCGTGGTTATTGGAATTCATTTTTTCAAGAGGCGATGAGTAGTGCTTTCGTTTGATGTTTGAATCCTTTCGTTTGATGGTTGCGATGATTAGACGGTTGCTGTTGCAATAAACACAAGCGAGGTTGAATGTTCTCTGAAGTGTGAGGAAAGCCGGCTAAGGCCGAGATTTGGTGGTCGTGGCTGCTCATTTTGAACTTGTGGTCGATGTGGTTCAAGTCTAGCAGGTGATGATGTCTGCTCGTTCGTCTTGATGGTTTTGGTGGTTGCTTTTGATGAAAGAGCAGAAGAGGTTGATGTTCTCTGAAGTGTGAGGAAAGGGGAAAGGAATACGAAATGAACGCGTACGGTACCGCTTGTGTCTCGTTAGACGTCATTCTTCGTCCGAACCCCGGTCCAAGAACCCTTTCCTCTTCTCACAAGCCTCAGCCGACCCAAGGGACTGCCAATCCTCCTCCCCCTCAGACCGAAACTTCTCGTACCTGTGCCATCATCTCGCAGCCCTTGCTCTCATTTCGATAACCCTCTTCCGGAGCCGGGGAGATGCGGATGATGTCTGCTTTGTTACACCGGTTGGTCAGTTCCCAGTGGTCCTCAACTCAATCAGTATGTAAGTGTCTGGAAGATAGACAAACCTTGTTGTTTAGTTCAGTTTCGTGTATACACGTCCCGAAATCGGGTCACGAATAACACGGGGACCGCGAGGTTTATTCCTCTCCTCTTCTTGTCGGGCGAAATGTGCTTCTAGTGCATTCTGTGAGATGTTCTCGTCTTTCTCCTCATAGAATAGTGGGGTGGTGCCGGTACTGGTGTAGAAGTTGTGTTTGGAACTATTGCTGGTTTGGTTCTTCCCCATAACCCTTGATGCGGTCGGCCAGCGGGCCCGTCATCCGAAAATGACATTGAAGGAAAGTCCTTAGGTATAAATCGAACCGTGAAGAAATGGTGCAGTGAGAGATGTAGAGGAAAATGTCCGAGGGTGGGCGCTATGAGTGGCTGATTATGAAATCTCCGGTAGGCAATTATCAGGAATATGGAAGGACACTCGGGAATCCTTCTCGAAACTCTCCAGGTCATAATGATCCCAATCAATCCTGTTTAAAGAAATCTCTGGTCCACCTTGCCCTTACGCCAAAGCCATGACCACGAAGGGGCATCCATCCCCTCTTCGGGCGGTAGGAGGAAACACTTGGAAAGCTGGGAGTCGGATGGGAGTAGCCTGCAGGCACTGCGAGTGACTTCATGTTAGAAATGAGTTGAAGAGGAGTGGAAGTGAAGGGCAGAATGGGGAGGGAGAGACATACCGAGGCTTGCTTGACAAACGGTAACACTCAACGGCGCCCTCTGAATAGCGTCGCGAGGGAGGGTGGATGGGAGCGAGGCTCAAAGCTGGAGGCGTGGAGCTGCTGTGGTGCGGTTTGGCTTTGGGAAAAGGAGTGACTGGGGAAGATCTTGGATCCATTTCTTTGCTCTTCGGGCATTTCGCCATGGAGTCGTAGGTCGGAAAAAAATTCTTGGGTTTGTCTTAGCTGGGACCGAAGGGATTCTTCTCTTCGGCGTCTTTCCTCGCGTCGTTCCTCCTGCCTTCCCAGAACCAGTTCTCGGACTCTGATAGATCGCATGACATATTCGTGTCGCGTCCCTGTTTCGTGTTGGTGATCCGTGCCTCCATCTGGCAATAAGCCCGTCTCTCTGTCAGCCCTGGAAATGTAGCCCCGAAAACGTTGGGGAGGAAGACGGATAGGTGCCAGATGTATAAGTATAGGCTCAAGGAGCTGGAGAATAGCGCGGGATGTGCTGTGCCGTCAGTCGGTTGTCTCTGGGCAATGGTCGGAGTGGCTGCTATCACCATGTTGTTTTGAGACCCGTGGTGTTTTGCTGATGATGCTGTGAGACTGGTTGGTTAGTTTTTGTGGTCCTTAATAAATGCCTGGAGAAGATGGCCAAACCTTGATATCAGTTAGAGTATGCATTGCAGTGTTTTGCCGATAATGGTTGAAAGTTGGCTGGCGGGGCCAGGCGTGCGTTGTTCCTGGAAACCGAAGGTGAAGAGGATTGTGTTGATGAAAACTCTGTCGATGAAGATGGTGAAAGAGGTCTGTCCAAAGAGGCCAGAGTAAGGAGTCGGCTTAGACGCTGGTCCAGTCTAGGTCCCTTCGCCGTCCACCTTCTCTTCGGAGACAGTAGCACCAAAAGTCAACGCTTGTTGTCGGATTTCGGCAAAATCGGCAGCGATCGATTCGTGAAGCTTGACTATCAATGCTGCGATGGCCCGGATCGCGATATCGAAGAACAGTGTCGTCAATGCAGACAGCAAGCGTGGTCCACAAGGGCCATAACATGGTGTCGACGTTGATGATTGCTTGGATGGCGGTCGCGTTTGATTTGGTGGCAATCGCGTTTAGCGTGCAAAGAACTTTAATGAAGAAGCCGGCTAATAGCTGATGTTGCGTGATCGTCGTTGCGCATTGTAAATAGTAGCCGATATGATTGTATCATTCCCGGAAGTTGATGGTCCAGTTGGTCTTGGTATCGTCGCATCCGCGTAAGAGGGCGGTCCAGGTGTAACTTCTGGCGGTGATGTAGCCGGAGGTGTAACTCGAAATCTGGCAAGTGATGCTGTCTTCTGGATCGGCTTGATGGTTGCTTTTGTAATGGCGCTGCGATCGAACCGAGTGAAAGGTGAAAACGACGAGCCGGATGGCGAGCATCGCAAAACCAGGAGGAGGAAGTCGTGGAAGAAGTCATGATGATTGAATAACTGTTGAGCTTCTAAAGATTAGTTGGTCAATTTCTAGCCGATAAGCGTCTAGTTATGGAAGATGGACGAACCCTGATGTCAATTTAGTTGCTGTAAATCCGTCCCGAAATAAAGTCACGAATCACGCGAGGGCCGCGAGGCTTTTCCCCTTTCTTCTCTCTGTCGACAAAGATGGGCTTCTAGCGCCACCTGGGTCTTGTCCTGGCAGATCAGACATGTCTCCGATCTAATCCTTATAGAGTTTATCGGCTCTCGCCAGAAGTCGCACGACACCGAGCATACATCACTCCACAATAGCGGGCAGCCACATCCAGAATTGCCACATTTGGGTTGTTGAAGGTACCGGTACCTCTAGCCCGAGTTCCCGCGTTTGGGGGATGCTGAGCATGATGTCAAAGAATGACACTTTTGCTATCGGTGAAATGCTTGAAAGTGGGAGACTGTTGCATGATGTCAGAAAGGAGTTGAAGAGGGGGCATCGGAAACGTTGTTAAGTATTCGATTCTGCTTTCGAGGAACTCGAGGCTCTCTTTGGCGATTTTGCTTTCCTCTTCTGATACCGTTGTTGTTGGTGATACTTGCTTGGCCATCCACTGAAGCGTTTTGCCGATGGCGTTAGAGAGTTGGAAGGTGGGACCAAGGCCGGAGGTGAACAGTTTTGTGGCGGTAAATATTCTGTCGATGACGATGATAGAGGATGTCCAAAGAGGAGAGAGGAAGGAGTCGATGGCGATGATTCCGTTGATGGTTGTGTCGATGATGATTTGATTGAGAGCAAGAAGCAAGGTGACAAGCAGCGCGGCAAGCGCGGAACGATTTGCGTGGTTGTTGGAATTCATTTTTTCAAGAGGCGATGAATGGTGCTTTCCGGAGAGGCAACCCAGCTCTTAAGTCTATGGATTGGTTGGTCAATAAGCGACCCTGGAAGGGAAAGAGAAGCTGGTGATCGTTTCGAACTTGTGATCAATGAAAATGGTGACCGCGTTCCAGAACGGCCATAGGATGACTGTGTCGAGTTCTGTGACTGTGTCGATGGCGACAAGTAGTAGTCGAACGAAAATTGTGGCAAGTGCTGAGCACTGCGGATCGTTTTGAATCATCTTGGGCTCAAGGTTGTTTGGTGAAGGAGTAGCCGGTTTCTCAAGGTTGCTCCGGGTTCATGTCTGATATTGCCGCAATATTTACTGTGGTTAGATGGCTGCCGTTGCTATGATAATAATAGAGGTTGATGGACTGAAGTACCGTCAGGCCCAGTCATGGTGAATTTGCTACACAAGTCTTGGCAAACGTAGCAAGGCGTGCTCCCTCTATTCCCATCTCCGGAGTGTCCGGCATCGGGGGTTTGGTACTCTCTGCGAAGTGCACCTTCTTGTACAGAGGTAGGTTTCCGTCGGCGTGTTTCTCTTTGGGAGTCGGCTTAGACTTCGGACCCGTCTAGATCCCTTCGCCGTACGCCTTCTCTTCGGAGGGAGCACCGAAAGTCAACGCATCCGTTTCCTTCACAACTCCTCCGCTCAAGATGCAAGTGGTCTTTTCGACCTGCTTATCCATGCAAGCCTTGGAACCCGTCTTGTTGGCTAGCTCGTTGATGGGAGCGGCGGCCTTGGTGCTTTATTCTGCAAGACGACTTCTGTGTGAGATTGGTTGGTTAGTTTTCTTTGTTGTTGATGAATGTCAGGAGAAGATGCACAAACCTTGAAGATTGCCAGCTACCTGAACAGCCTGGGCAACCCCACTGGCCTCCCCCATCATGTTGTCCATTGGGTGCGGCATATGCCACACCATCAAGACCTTCTTCGCATGGTCGGCATTTCCCGAAGAGTGTTCGTAGAAGACGACAGAGTACCTCCCAGGAGCGCAAGTTTTTGGGACTGGGTCTACCTGTGACCACACTGGAGTGTGACGGACAGGGGAGAATATCCACGTCATCGCCCTTCGTCGTCGTCGATGAGGGAAGATAGAGAAAGGAAGAGCAAGTTAGAGGAAGGAAAAGTGAGGAAGAGGAAGGAAGGTAGACAGAGGTAGAGGAAGGAAGAGGAAGGAAGAGGATATTCATAGGAAGACAGGGGGTTGAAGGCAGGGGAAGAAAGTTGTCCGTCAGCCTTTGTTACGCCAAGATACTTAGCACACATCATGGAAATAGCACGGCAACCTACAATATGGGGACCCTGGACTCATGGATGCTGGGGTGGAGAGGAAGGATATCGAGGCTGGGTTCGGGACTTGGTGCTACAGTGAGCCGGGGGATAGGAAGGCGTGGGGAGATGCCATGATTGAGAGGTTGAGAACGGGACAGATGAGGGGACGGGGAATTGAGTTGGGGTTGACGACGGAGGAAGGCGTGGAGGAGATTGTTAAGGGGTGGGAGGAGTGGATGGAGAGGGGGGATGCGACTTTGGGGATTGTTAATGGGGAGGTTATTGTGAGGAAGGTGGCCTCTTTGCCGAAAGCTACCTAGGAGAAAGAGCGACACATCATGCTACGGGATAACAACTGGAACAAAGGATGTGCGGAGGTTGTCAGGAACAATGGAAAGTGCGTTGGAAGCGGTCAATTCCGATGCATGCCCCTGAAACAGTTCGTAGAAGGAACTACCAATTCGTGGAAGGAACTACCAACGGCATTCGATGAGAACAAACACCTGCGGCTAGCGGCAACATGGAAATTTGCCTTGTGCAGCGCACTATACAACCCCGCGTCTAGCATTATCCAACTTCCATCTCCCCTTCTTCTTCCTCTCTTCTTCTTCCTCTCTTCTTCTTCCTCTCTTCTTCTTCCTCGTCATCTTCTTCCTCGTCATTTCACCCAGCCAACACGCCATGGAGGAATCGTCCGAGATCACCATCACTGGCCCGAGTCCTGACGCGGCAAGGAACTATTCCGTCGACTCCGAAATCTGGGATTTCTTCACCAAGACTTCTGCCAGCCTCGAAGCCTGCGACGCCAAAGCAAGGGAGCTCGTCAGCGGTGGAGAAGTTGTCCCAGTCGACGGAGGAGAGAGAGCGACATTGTCTACTTGAACCCCGCCTGCTAGTACTTGGGCCACTGCGGTATGGCAGACGGATGCCCATAAAACGGCGCATTATATTGGTTGCCGGCGGTGTTGTTATTCGTTTGATACCCTGCGCCCATATTGAAGTTCATAAACCCGCCTCCCGAGTTGTGAAACTGATCCCGTCCCACATACCACCCATCTCCCCGAGTCCCATTCCTCTCATCGGGAAGAGATGACTCTGTCGACGACCCTCCACCTGCCGGTAGCAGCAACAGAAGTTCCTTTGCGTATGCCGCCGCCGTCGCTGCCGCATAGCCCTGCCACTTCTTATTCTTGTGCGAGTCCGCATAGTCGCAGACTCCCCGGATGACCAGACCCTGGTAGTCGCTCATCACGCCCGCAGCTTCCATCTCAAGACAGATGATGTTGTGCCTCGCGTGAAGTTCATTCCTCTTAGCGCTCGACCTGACAACTGCATTTGCTGAGCCGATGTTGCCATAGTGGATATGGGGTTGGTCACTCTTCCGCTCGGCTCTTTTGCCCCGACTCTTGCGCAGCTTTGCTCGCGTCGCGTCACAAAGGCCTTGACAGAATCTTCCCCTGTCCGTATGAAGATAGCTGTCCTCAAAGAGATGATCGTATTCGGCCCCAGGATCCTCATAAGCCTGCCTCGATCGCTCATTCAAGCCTCTGCGCAACTCCTCCAGGTACCGCGGGATCTTACTTCCCACCACCTGCATATGCATGCTTCGCAGATTATTCACCGCAGCGAGCAGAGCAGCAGACGGGTGAAGCGTGTGCTCTTTGACAGTCAATTCTTTCTGGCCCTCCCACGCACCGAACTCATAATGCGTCACACCTCCTCTTCCTTGCTGGGGAACGCCGACGACGACGTCGCCCAAGACAATCTGCTCCTGCAGATCTGGACCGTAGCAGGGCATCCCGCCTGCGATGCCAACCACCAGAACATGTTTGATGTTGCGAAACGAGCGGCGCATGTTGGCAAGGGCCGTGGCGGCTGGTTCGATACCCATGCGCGGACACACAACCATCACGACGAAGTGCGAGCCTATACGTCCTACGTGGTAGAGAACGTCGTCGTCGGGAACTTCCATTGTTGTGGGGTCCTCTAGCATTCCCACCGCAGCGGTGAGTTCCAAGGGCAAGGGGGCGATCCAGCCGACTGTGTACCGAGAAGTGTCGTGGGAGGGATCCATGTGGGCAATTGTTGACATCGAACGTGATTATCCAAAACGAAGAACAACACTGTCTCAGCTTGCAAAGATACACCAAGGACCAGAGAAGGTGCTTTTGGTTTTAACGTCTACTCGGGGTGGTAGAGGCAAGATCCAAGGTGGACAGAGGTAGGCTAAGGCCCAGCTCTGGCACCCTTTGCTCCAAGAGTGAGCATTATGGCTCGGCGTTGTCGGGTTGGTGGCCTCACATACCTCCACCCACCATGATGGGAAATATGGAGGGCATCCAGACCAGACAATCCCCTCTTGGCCAGGTGACCCTTCAAGCCCAAGTGTTTTATCTTCGGTGCGGAGTCGTTCTTTTGAAGCTTCTGATTGGCCGACTTTGCTTAGGACCTCTCTCGAAGTGACGGTGATCCCAGTCTAGGAGAGTGGCGTCTTACTTGCAGTTGTGGGGGCAGGCGTCGCATTCAGCTTTCCCCGAAAGGATATCTTCACACTACCAATGGCACATGCGATTGGTGGCCGACCCACGCCAGACTGGGAATTTGGGCATTAACAGGTAGTGTCCATTGGGCATCTTTGACACCTAGGCTGATCTGGAAGGCCAGGCGTCAACAGCTGATGCCGCAAATGTGCACATTTCGCTAGCACATCCGCCTTCCCACAGCTTTGAGACCGCCTTTGGTTGGGGATGAGTCTTCTGAGCTGCAAACCAAAGTTTGGGGACGCTATACCTTTGAAATTTTTGGTTGGCCAACCAGTTGGACAATATTCATCTCTTCGTTCCGTTCTGTCACCCCCTCGCTTTCTCCCTGAACATTGTAAGACGATCAACTCCTTTAATTCCACACGTTTGATCTTGTAAGCAAGCATTATACACATCCCGAAGCTCAATCCTTGCAACATGAAAAGGTCCTGGTCTTTCTCCAATTCTGGTTCGGGTTTCTCCAACGCCAATACCGGCCCGGGGACTCAGTATAACAACAACGCCGCCGGGCCGCAATACAATAACTACTACTACGGACGTGGGTTTCTATCATGGGTGATGGGCGGTACAGGCACGTGCTAACATTCAATAGCTCCTTACACTGGAACTGATCAAGAGCTCGTTAGCTATGCAATGTCAGAGAAGGACCAGCAATGTCTAAAGCACGTACGCCTTACCGATCCTCGCCACGATAAAACCCGCATCGAACAGACCAAAGGCGGCCTTTTGAAGGACTCATATCATTGGGTCGTGGATAACGCTGACTTTCAGCGATGGCGTGACTACCCGCAGCACCGATTACTATGGATTAAGGGCGACCCCGGCAAAGGGAAGACTATGTTGTTGTGCGGCATTATCGATGAGCTGGATCAAGGCAAAACTGCCGACGTGCGCCATTGCAATGTGGCCTACTTCTTCTGCCAGGCTACCGACTCTCGCATCAACAATGCAGCCGCCGTATTGCGCGGCCTGATCTACCTGCTTAGCGAGCAGCAGCCATCTGTCCTCTCATACGTGCGGAAGGAGTATGACCGTGCAGGCGAGAATCTCTTCAAAGATGCAAATACGTGGGTCGCCCTATCGGAAATTTTCACCAATATTTTAACAGACTCAAGCCTCCGAACGACCTACCTAATCATCGACGCACTGGATGAGTGTGTTGATTGGTCACAGCTTCTCGACTTAATTGCTCAGCAATCATCATCTGGATCTCGAGTCAAGTGGATTGTCTCAAGCCGTAATTGGCCGCAAATTGAGGAACGGTTGGAGAAAGCCGCAGATAAAGTGAAGGTCTCCCTGGAGCTAAATGCGGAATCCGTCGCAGCGGCTGTCAATGCATTTATCCTGCACAAGGTGGATGACCTAGCAGGGCTGAAGAAGTATGATCCAAGGACAAAAAAGACCGTTCAGGACTACCTGTGCTCCAACGCGCAAGATACGTTCCTTTGGGTGGCGCTAGTCTGTCAAGCGCTTGAAAAGGTCCAGAAAGGGTTTACCCTAAAAAAGCTACGCATGTTTCCATCTGGGCTGGACGCTCTATATGCGCGGATGAGAGAGGATATGAGCCAGTTCGATGAATCCGATCTTTGCAAGCACCTTCTTGCTATTGTTACAATTGTTCGCCGGCCAATCAGCCTTGAAGAACTAACCACTCTCGCCGACGAGCTTGATAACACTTACGACGATTCCGAGTCATTAGAAACAACTATAGGGCTTTGTGGTTCATTTCTAACACTACGAGAACGAACCATCTATTTTGTCCATCAATCAGCTAAGGACTTTTTACTTGGCAATGCCTCTGATAAAGCTGGCAACCAAGCTTCTCAGGAGGCGTTCAAGTGGATTTTTCCTTCTGGGAAAGAACATGTGAACTATACCATCTTCTCGAGGTCACTTGATGCCATGTCTACAACACTGCGACGCGACATATACGACTTAAGCGCACCGGGATTTCCGAGCGACAAGGTCCAAGTATCGGATCCGGACCCGCTAGCGACGGTGCGGTACTCGTGCGTCTACTGGGTTGATCACTTGTGTGACTCGGTTTCTGGCACGAACACAAAACAGCATGATCGTTTACAGGATAATGAGGTTGTCTATACATTCCTCAAGACGAAGTACCTTTACTGGCTTGAAGCTCTAAGTCTACTCCGAGCTATGTCAGAGGGCGTCATTGCTATTAGAAAACTCGAGGGCCTACTAGTAAGTATAAGTCTAACTCCGCCCTAGGAACTTGGTCTAACTAAAGATATAGGGAGGTAATGATCAGTCGCAGTTATCAAAGCTTGTTTGGGATGCTTACCGGTTTGCTCTGTCTTATAAGTCAATAATAGAGCAAGCTCCACTTCAAGCATACATATCAGCGCTTGTATTTGCTCCAAGCGGTAGCTTGATAAAGAGGAATTTCAGGGCAGAAGAACCTGAATGGATTCGAACTAAGCCGGCTGTAGAATTGGATTGGAATGCATGCCTCCAGACCCTAGAAGGCCATAGCGGCGTCGTTACCTCGGTAGCATTCTCGCCTGATGGCCAGCGGCTTGCGTCCAGTTCGGAGGACAAAATGATCAAGATCTGGGATCCGGCGTCGGGGAGCTGCCTCGAGACCCTAAAAGGCCATAGCGGCCCCGTTTGGTCAGTGGCATTCTCGCTTGATGGCCAGCGGCTTGCGTCCAGTTCGGAGGACAAAATGATCAAGATCTGGGATCCGGCGTCGGGGAGCTGCCTCCAGACCCTAGAAGGCCATAGCCGCTACGTTTACTCACTGGCATTCTCGCCTGATGGCCAGCGGCTTGCGTCCGGTTCGGACGACAAAACGATCAAGATCTGGGATCCGGCGTCGGGGAGCTGCCTCCAGACCCTAGAAGGCCATAGCGGCCCCCCCGTTAGCTCAGT